CCACAATAAAATCACAATACGATTGCTGTTCTTGAAGACTGTAAACCCAGACTTCAAAACCCCCAAAATTGGACCAAAATTCTCAAACAATGGCCACCTAATGCCAACACATGCTATCATATTCAGAAAAGATGGTTTTGTTTGGGTTTGTTTAGGTTGCAAAAGGGATTCGAAGAGAGGTAGAAATTAGGGTTTGGATTTGGGTAGAGAAGAAAACAAAGAGGAAGAGGAAGAACTAGGTTTTGAGGGCAAAGCTGTGGGTTTTGCAGGTTGTTCTTGATCTTCTTCTTCGTGAGGAAGACGAAATTGGGGTTTGGATTTGGGTAGAGAAGAAAACAAAGAGGAAGAGGAAGAACTGGGTTTCAGAGAGAGAGAGAGAGAGAACTAAATTTCAGAAAAAGTGTTATGTGGGCAATAAGTGGGCAATAAAAATGTATTTATAGGTGGTAGTTTTAAAAATTTTGGGGAGGTGTGGTATTTTGACAAAAAATTATAAAATGGGTGGCACTGAGGGCCATTTCCCAAAAAAAATAGCTATTTTAGATTAGGCCAAAGGCTGGCCCAGATTCGTTGGGCCAGCTTAAAAATAACAAATAAAAAGACAATTCTACCCTTTTCTCTTAAAAAGCATGGCCCATCTGTAAACCTACAAATTAAATGACGCTTTTGCCTCTGAACATTTAAACGACGCGCGAGTTTCTTCTTCGTTCGTTTTCGTTCGTCGTCTTCTTCGTTTCAGAGCTGGGTTCTGCCATTGGAGCTCAATTTTCTGGTAGGTTTTGCTTTTATTTTCTTCGTTTTTCTGTCTTCTTTTTTCTGCTACGTTTTCGTTCGATTTGCATGCTGAATGACTGTCAGTTTTGGGTGATTTCTGTTCTCCTTAGTTCGGGTATTTCGAGCTCAGTTTTGTGGCTCGATTTTGCGGCGCGATCTTGTGGCGTTCAATGCTAAACCCTATATTCTTCGTTTCGTGATCAGATTTGATTTTAAGCTGCTGTTTGGTTGTGGAGATTTTTGGCAGTCCTAAGTTTTGAGGTATGAGTACTTTAGAACCTGTTTTCGTTTATATCGACTTGTATGTTTATGGAATTTAGTTTTAGTACTTTTATCGTGGTTTCCTTTTGGTTTCTATTCGAATTGTTTTGATTTTCTGTCATAAACTACATCTGTTTGTTGTAGTTTTGGTAGAAACTGCATTGCAGTTTCTTGTTTCATAATTCGATTTCAGACTAATATTTGGAAGTCTATTGGAATTTTACAACTGCTCATGTACATTATTTACTAATTTAAATTGTTTTCTGTTTTTGTTTGTTGTTTTGTTTGCATTTTCAAGGCTAATGGAGGTGTGTGTCATTGCCAAGTGCACATATAAGTCGGAAACCATGATGTTTTCAGTTTCATCAGAGTCATCCATGGTTGATATTTTGAAGACTTTGTGTCTAAGGTTTAAGGGTTTGCAGTTGGTTGTTTTACGTTACGGTATTCGCTGCCCAGTTATCCGAGTTGTTTTCTAGAAACGGATAGCGATTTGGACATGATGAGGACATTTTTGTTTGTATCAAATGAGAAGAGTGTTGATATTTTAGTGAAGGATTTATGCGGAAGCAGTGAATATAGTGGTGATTTTTGTGTAAATAAGGAGTTGATTGCATGTGAAAAGGGCGAGTCGTCGTGTTCTAGTACTGTCGAAGACAGAAATGAATTTTTGGGCAGGTCGAAGAGAGCAAGTGCTAAGCCTTTGTTGTCGAATGAGTGGGAGACGTACATACATCATGTAGGGCAGAAGTTTGACGGTGGTGCAGAGGAGTTCCGTTTGAAATTGTGCAAGTACGCTCTTGAAGTAGGATTTAATTTTTTATATGCCGGCAATGACAAGAAGCGGGTGGTTGCTATTTGTTCGAATAAGAAATTGGAGGGTTGTAGCTGGCGTGTTTATGCTTCTCGTTGTGAAGCTACTGGCTGTTTTGTAATTCGGACATTAAATAATGTGCATACATGTGTGGGTCGGATACGGGAATCAAAGAGTAAGATGATGAAGTCTCGTGTGGTGTCCTCCCTCATTGTGGACAGAATTCGTGCAAAACCAGAGCTGAAGCCAGTTGAGATTATACACGAGTTCAAAGATTATTATGGTATAGACATTTCATACTACCATGCATGGTTTGGCAAAGAGTTAGCTAAATTGAACGTTCACGGTGATGAGTCGAAGTCCTTCAACGAGTTAGTGTGGTATGCGGACGCCGTAAAGGAAACTAACCCTGGTTCTCTCTGCACTCTTGAATGTGAAGCTGGAATTAATCGCTTTAGACGGTTTTTTGTGTCGTTTGGCGGTTGCATTGCTGGATTTCAATATTGCATACCCTTGTTGTTCGTTGATGCTACGTTTTTGAAGAGCAAGTACAAGGGGCAGCTTCTCTGTGCTTCCGGAAAGAATGGAAATCAAGGTATGGTTACTGTAATGTATTGCAGATTCCATTTGTTGCAATTTTTTAGCAGAAACTGCATTGCAGTTTCTTGTTTCATAATTCGATTTTCTAAATAATTTTTGTATGTCTGTGGGAATGTTGCAACTGCTCATGAACTTAAATGTGTTTTAAACTTAGTTTTAGTACTTGGATCATGGATTTGCCTTTTGGTTTCCTTTCAAATTTGAGCAGATTTGTTTTCAAAAACTGCACTGCAATTTCCCTTTTTTGCTTATACTTGTGCTTTGGTTTTGTTTTGCAGGGTTTTATCCTCTAGCTTTTTGAGTTGTTGATTCTGAGACGGAGGAGAATTGGACTTGGTTTCTTCAACATTTGGCTTCTATTTTGCTACCGATGGGGAGAGTGGTGACCTTTTTCTCGGATCGCAATCAAGGTTTGTTAAATGCAATGGGGTTTGTGTTTCCTGGATGGCCTCATTCTTACTGTTACTATCACCTCAAACAGAATTTGATATCGAAGTACCCGAAGTCAGGTTATGGGAAATCGCTCCAAGACCGTGTTATCAATTTATTTAGTAGGTGCGCATATGCTGTTACAGAGGAAGAGTTTACGGTAGCAATGGAGGAGTTGGTGATTGTTGGGAGTTCGAAAGTGAAGACATTTATATCTGATTTGTCTAGAGATCACTATGCGAACGCATATTTCAAAGGAATGCGGTATGGGGAGATGGCAAATAGTTTAGCGGAGTCATTTAATAATTGGGTTGGTGTGTTTCGAGATTTGCCGGTTCTACCTTTGATAGAAGGGATTCGACAGAAATTGATGGTATTGAATTCTCAACGACTAATTGAAGCGGAGAAGTGGACAACAATTTTGTGTCCGGAGATGGAAACTAGACTGTGGGAAAATGCGGAGGCCGGTAGGACTTGGGTAGTTCGTCGTTCTAGTTTCACTGTTTTTGAAGTATTTGCTGATTATTCTGTGATGGTTGATCTTGAGCAAAGGACTTGTTCTTGCCGTCTTTGGCAAATTGACGGTTTTCCTTGCACGCATGCGGTAGCTGCAATTCTAGCAAAGAAAGATTCAATTTATGATTACGTGGAGTGTTACTATAGGACTGACTTCTTTCGAAAAGCCTATGAGAGTCCTATTTTTCCTATTCCAGATATTGGGAAAGGCTTGGGCAGCAACAGTTTTGCAGCTGGAGTTGTGCTTCCGCCAATTACAAAGAGGCCAGCCGGAAGACCACCAACAAAGAGGATCAAAGCTTTTGGTGAATTTAAAAGGCCATTGAAATGCAGTCGGTGTAGTGTTACTGGGCATAATAGGAAGACTTGCAAGGCTGTGATATGAACATTCCTTCTCAGTTGACGATTGCTTACGTTAGATATGGTTTAGTGAATGTATAGTCAGTTTCTGCATTGCACTTTTTGCAAAACCTGCATTGCAGTTTTATTTGCTTTTAATTGGCTACACAGCTTCTAATTGGATATTATGATTCTTTTTTGAAGTTAATGAAAATTATACAATTGTTTCATGAGTGGATATTCGTTTTTGACTGCCATTGAATGCTTGTTTTCAGATTTGAGCAGATTTTGTTGCAGAAACTGCACTGCAGTTTCTGTTTATTTGTTGCAGATTTTGAACAAAACTTGTCCCATAATTCAATTTCAGAATACTTTTTGCTAGTCTATGGGAATGTTATAACTGCTCATGGAGTTAAATGTGTTTTGATATTAGTTTTAGTACTTTGATTATGCCTTTACCTTTTGAGCAGCAGTGCAGATTTTGACCAGAAACTGCAGCGCAGTTTCTTGTTCGATAATTCAATTTCAGAATAATTTTTGCAAGTATATTGGAATGTTACAACTGCTGACCTACTTAAATGTGTTTTGATATTAGTTTTAGTACTTTGATTATGCCTTTACCTTTTGAGCAGCAGTGCAGATTTTGACCAGAAACTGCAGCGCAGTTTCTTGTTCGATAATTCAATTTCAGAATAATTTTTGCAAGTATATTGGAATGTTACAACTGCTGACCTACTTAAATGTGTTTTGATATTAGTTTTAGTACTTTGATTATGCCTTTACCTTTTGAGCAGCAGTGCAGATTTTGACCAGAAACTGCAGCGCAGTTTCTTGTTCGATAATTCAATTTCAGAATAATTTTTGCAAGTATGTTCTCATATACAATAACTAGAAATATTTACAAACATCCACAAGAATTAAGATACATATTGTCTTGAGTTAACAAAAGGCAAATCATTAGAGACGATTAATTACACAGTGTTTGTGGTGTAGGAGTTTTGTGACATATTGTGCTCGATATTCATTCATGAATTTCTTGTCCACACTTTTTGGAATGGGCTGTCCTTGTGCTATTTTATCCATGTAGAACATGACGAACATGCCGCAATCCAACCTGCAAATGAATACGAGATTAGCTTTTGGTTTTGAATGATTTCAAATTGTAATGAATGGTTGAGTAGACACAATTCTTACGAAGATGAATTTTGTTGAGCACATTCTGTGTCATCCTCAAATGGAAACTGATATGGATTTTGCAGAATCCAATTTAGAGTGAGTTCTTCATTTGGGACAAATCAACCTGTGCAGGTGTAGGGGGCCCTTCTTTTTGCTTCACAAGTTTTGGTATTTTTTTAGTTTCTAAGAACTCTTGTGCTTGTGGTCTGATATATTCTAGCCACCCTTCCACAATATTAACCTGTTTAAAGAAGAAGAAAAAAAGAGAAAAAGAAATGGTAATCAGTGCATTGCATATTATAGTTTTGGTCCGAAATTAAGCAGTACATATAATACAGAAACTGCATTGCAGTTTCTGTTTGTGTTTGTGCTGAGAAATTAAGACAGTTTCATTCCACTTACAAAATTTTGAGCAATGTCAATACACTTTTCTTCTTTTCTAGATCCCAACGATCTAAGTGGATTGTAGTGTCTCCACTTTCGTTCAATTTTGTGAAATGTGAGAAGTGTAAAGTGGAACTCAGAACTTGAAATGATCGGGAAGAAGAGAACATTGCATTTCCCGAGTTTTTCAAGTAAGTGTTCATACAGGGCCCTATGCCAATTTGGTTCTAGAAAGGTTTGCATGTAAGCCTGATATCATTGAATGGCAATTTGTTAGTATATATTTTTCGAAAACTGCAGTGCCGTGTCTGTTTAAACAACTTTGAATTTTCAAAATAATTCTTACCCAAGTCCATGTAGACATGTACTGTGGACTATCTGTCTGCATGGGCCCTATTTTCTCCTCCTCTATTTGGATATAGGCCTCAATAACCTGTTTCACATTGATTAGAGAAAAATGGAATTATTAACGGGTAATATAGGTAGCACAAATAAAAAATGCAGTGCAGTGTGTGTTATAGAATTAGTATTTTATACTTACGTTTTGTGACAGTTCCAGGTCCCATACAATATCTTTGATATCATGGTTTGTCACTTTCTCACTATCGAGTCCTGCCCAAAAGTTATCACTGCGGATTCAAATACATGAAATTCACAAGATTAGTTTTAGTTTAATTGTAATTAAAAGATGAAAGAGTTGTTCTTTTGGAATAGAGATATTACCTAGGTTGGGTACTTAAGTAGTATTCTTGAATTCTGTCCCTGTCCTCCTTTGGAATTTTCTGCCAAACCTTCTTTTGACCCCATCCTAGTTTTTTCTTTGTTGGCTTTTTTTGTCCTTCATCTTCATCATTTGATTCTTGCATACCTACAAGTATTGAATCATGAAGGCTCGTTCCTTTTGGGGGATCAGGAATTGGATTTGTGGCATCGGGCTGAGATGCCTCTTGTGTTAACTGCAGATTGAAAGGAAACTAATTAGAAACTCCATTTGATAAAACAGAAACTGCAATGCAGTTTCCGTTTCTGTAAAGCAGCAGAAACTGCAATGCAGTTTCCGTTTCTGTAAAGCAGCAGAAAACAGAAAAGCAGCAGCTTGAACTGCAGTAATTGCATACCACCTTCTGATTTTGAGGATCCTCTTGTGTTGATTGCTCCTCGGAAGAGATAATCTTGAATTGTGGTAGTTCTTCATCATCCTTTTTTGCCTTCTTTTTGGTTTCTTATTTTTTTCGTACACATAGCAAGATGCTTGAAGCCTCTTTCTTTCTCTATTCTTCAGCCTTAGTACTCTTGAAGGAACATCAGGTGTTGGAGCGTCTTGCTTCTTCTCTTCTTCTTTCTCTTCTTGTTGCTTCTCTTCTTCTTTCTCTTCTTCTTCTTCTTCTTGCTCTTCAACTGGTTGTGTTGGTTGTGTTGTAGGCAGATCCATCTCCATTTCAAAGACTGTTGGGTCTGACAACAAGCTTTGAATTTCTACCTTGTACTTTTCTTCAATCTCCTTTTTCTTGGCAATCTTCTCCATGTCAATCCGAGTTTCCTTGCCTTCCAATTCTGCAATCCTCCTTTTTAGATTTTCTATTTCCTGAAGCTGAACGGTAGATTCCACTGTCATGGTGGCAGTCACATATTCTTCATTATCTAATTTCTCTACGTATGTTGCCAACTTCGCTTCCAGCTCCTTTGATCTCTTTTCTCCTTGGATAAATATATCCCACAATTCCTTCATTTTCTTCTCACTGTCTTCATTTTTTTCATCCTTCCACAGTTGTAATCTTTCTGGGCAAATGAAGCTAGGATCTTGACGTTGGTGATAGTTGATTTGGTCTGTCATGGACTTCACCAAGAGGTCTTGAATTGCAAGAGGTTCATTTCCAGCTTCATTCTCAAACATTTTCTTCTTTCCATCCTCTTTTAATTCTGGAGTTTGATCAGTTTTATCAGGTTTTCCTTGGTCTTCTGCTTCCTCTGCTTCTCTTTGTTGTCCTTCATCTTCTTTTTCTTTTTTCTGCATCTTCTTTTTCTTGTCAAGAGGGTCTCCCTCTTCTCTGGTAGTTTTTCTCTTTTTATATGCTTTCAAAATACCCTGTACAATGAGATTGAATGATTCAAAAACTGCATTGGATAAAATACAAACTGCAATGCAGTTTGTCTTTCACTAAAATGCAAAAAACAGAATATACCAGAAAATATGCATCAACTTGACATGAATTTGAAAGATCAGCATAGTCAAAACAAGAACTACAAAACACAACAGAAACTACATAACAACATGGCGTGAAATGAGCAACATTCAAGAAGCACAGAAACTGCAATGCAGTTTGTGGTTCACTGCAATGCAGTTTGTGGTTCACTAAAATGCAAAAAACAGAATATACCAGAAAATATGCATCAACTTGACATGAAATTGAAAGATCAGCATAGCCAAAACAAGAACTACAAAACACAACAGAAACTACATAACAACATGACGTGAAATGAGCAACATTCAAGAAGCACAGAAACTGCAATGCAGTTTGTGGTTCACTGCAATGCTTCAGTAAAATGCAAAAAACAGCATATACCAGAAAATATGCATCAACTTGACATAAATTTGAAAGATCAGCATAGCCAAAACAAGAACTACAAAACACAACAGAAACTACATAACAACATGACGTGAAATGAGCAACATTCAAGAAGCACAGAAACTGCAATGCAGTTTGTGGTTCACTAAAATACCTTGTCAACAGTGTCTTCCTCTTCCCTGGTAGTTTTTCGCTTTTTAGGAGTTTTGAAAATACCCTGTACAATGAGAATGATTTAGCATGAATTCACATTCAAGATACATTAAAGTAGAACAACATGCGATAAATTGCATACCTCGATGTCATTCAAGTCCTTTATTTGGTTGAATCTTGTGTGGAGTTCCACAAGACTCCATTTAAGAATGGCAGGAGTTTCTTTCTCTTTGCCCAGGATTGGTTGTATTATGTTTGTCCTCTCACACAGTAGAAACTGCACAGTTCAAAAACAAGATATATCATAAATTAGGTTGGAAACTGCTTAGGATAAAACAGAAACTGCATTGCACTAAAGGGAAACTGCATTGCCTAAAACTCAAAATGCATACCAATATTAGGATAATGCAACCCGAAACAGCTCCTATAGAGCCTTCTCCTCCCTTCTTTGCTTTTGCTTTTGCTTTTGCGACCAAGGATTCATTCATGTAGGCTGAAACAGCACTTGCCCAAGAATAGCTTGAAAGTGTGTCCAGATTCACACAGTGCTCAAATACTTTCCAATGCAAAGTAGACGAAGCGTTGGCAAAAAGGAATGTCATGCATAGGTGAATCAATATTATGCTGACCACCTCCTTGTCGTAGTCAACTTCTTCTTCTTCTTCTTCAGCTTCTTTCTTTTGCTCTGCCTTGGCCTTTTCTTTCTTCGGTTGGTTTGCCAATGAAATTGTCTTCAGTAATTCTGCTTCTACCAGATTTTTTGATGGTTTTCCCTTTTCTCCAAAGTGCCTTATTCTAAAGGTAGAAGTGTACCTATCATTGACAAGTTTGACAGATTTTCCTTCATTTGGCAGTCCTAGAATCTGAGTCACTGCATTGCCTGTGATCTTGAATGCTTCGGTGCCAAATTTGAAGGACTTTGTATCTGGATCAAACTTCTTGAGCAGCTGAACTAAGTCAAGGTCTGACTTATTCATGTTATTCATGTCAATCCTTCGGTTGTAAAACACCTCAATCAAGTTCCAAAATGGGGTGTTCTTGAGAAGCTTCTTCTGCCTTTCATTCAGCTTGTCTTTTACATCCGTAATGATGCTGTTGAAAGCGTTGACATTGCACCGAAATTGGACATAATCTGGGTGCTTTGCTTTCCGATCATAGTTTGGCTTTGGCTTTGGCTTTGATTTACTCTTTTGAGCCATCATTTTGAATCTTCGCTTTGGTTGGTTTTGAGCTTCCTCCTTTTGTGGTGACATTTCTTGTGCCATTTGTGATCTGCAACAAGAAGGGATGAAAATATTATTAGGACAAGTAGAGATAAACTACAAGCAAACAGAAACTGCAATGCAGTTTGTGGTTCACTGCAATGCAGTTTGTCTTTGACTAAAATGCAAAAAACAGAATATACCAGAAAATATGCATCAACTTGACATGAATTTGAAAGATCAGCATAGCCAAAACAAGAACTACAAAACATAACAGAAACTACATAACAACATGACGTGAAATGAGCAACATTCAAGAAGCACAGAAACTGCAATGCAGTTTGTGGTTCATTGCAATGCAGTTCACAGAAACTGCAATGTAGTTTGTGGTTCACTGCAATGCAGTTTGTCTTTCACTAAAATGCAAAAAACAGAATATACCAGAAAATATGCATCAACTTGACATGAAATTGAAAGATCAGCATAGCCAAAACAAGAACTACAAAACACAACAGAAACTACATAACAACATGGCGTGAAATGAGCAACATTCAAGAAGCACAGAAACTGCAATGCAGTTTGTGGTTCACTGCAATGCAGTTTGTGGTTCACTAAAATGCAAAAAACAGCATATACCAGAAAATATGCATCAACTTGACATGAAATTGAAAGATCAGCATAGCCAAAACAAGAACTACAAAACACAACAGAAACTACATAACAACATGGCGTGAAATGAGCAACATTCAAGAAGCACAGAAACTGCAATGCAGTTTGTGGTTCACTGCAATGCAGTTTGTGGTTCACTAAAATGCAAAAAACAGCATATACCAGAAAATATGCATCAACTTGACATGAAATTGAAAGATCAGCATAGCCAAAACAAGAACTACAAAACACAACAGAAACTACATAACAACATGGCGTGAAATGAGCAACATTCAAGAAGCACAAAAACTGCAATGCAGTTTGTGGTTCACTGCAATGCAGTTTGTGGTTCACTAAAATGCAAAAAACAGCATATACCAGAAAATATGCATCAACTTGACATGAATTTGAAAGATCAACATAGCCAAAACAAGAACTACAAAACACAACAGAAACTACATAACAACATGGCGTGAAATGAGCAACATTCAAGAAGCACAGAAACTGCAATGCAGTTTGTGGTTCACTGCAATGCAGTTTGTGGTTCACTAAAATGCAAGAAACAGCATATACCAGAAAATATGCATCAACTTGACATGAATTTGAAAGATCAGCATAGCCAAAACAAGAACTACAAAACACAACAGAAACTACATAACAACATGACGTGAAATGCACAGAAACTACAATGCAGTTTCTGTTTTCTTCAGTGCAGAAAACAGTTTTGATGCTCTTTTGTGATTTTTCGGTTTTTAGAGGTTTTCAAACCAAAACTAAATCCAAAACCTAAACTACATTGCAGAATGACAGTAAGTAAAATTTCAGAACCCTAAAATCAAAGGCAAATTTGTGTTAGGGGTCATTTTCTTACGATTTTTTCCCCAAGAGAGTGCTAAACCCTTCAATCGTCGTCGTTGCTGGTCGTCGTTGCTGGTCGTCGCTTCTGGTCGTCGCTCGTCGCTCGTCGCTCGTCGCCGTTTCAGATTTTGGGGGAATAGGTTGGAACTGCTGAAAGAGAGAATGAAGAATCGGGTTCGATCGTTGGTGGTCTTCGATGATGGTCGCACGAATGGGTTGGTGGTCTTCGATGATCGTTGGTGGTCTGTTGGTTTCTGGAGGTGAAGTTGAAGAGGTTTCTGGAGGTGAAGTTGAAACGTCGCGCGAAGGAGTTGTGATTCAATTTTGGTTTCGGTTGATGTCGTTTTGGTTCAGTTTTGGTTTGATGTCGTTTTTCAGTTTTTGTTTAAAACTAAATACTGAAAATGGCATATGTTGTAATTTTCATATTTTGTAATGGTATTTTTGTTACATTTTGGTTTTTTTCCTTTTGCTAATTAGACTAAATTGTATTTCTTTCTACTAAATTAGTAAACTATATTATGCTTTAAAACTAAAGCTCCCTTTAAAAAAATTAAAAAGCCTTAAATACCAGGACTACGAAAGCGCCTTTCCGTATCTGGACATTTTCTTGCCTTTTCGTATCTTTATTTCATTCAGCAACAGAAATTTGGAGGAAGATTTCATAGCCATGTTAGATTGGAAGTTGATTTCATAGCCTGATGCAGATGATTAGAATTAAATAAGTCTGGAGGCCAAGAAAACTTTAAAAACAAGAAGAAGAAAAAAGGGTTGGGATCTGGGTATTGAAATTGTCCTCTTCTTTTTTTTCTTTTTTTTTATCGAAGGGAATAATATTTCATTGTTAAATAAAGATACGACTTATAAGGAAGCCCAAATACAAAAGTCAAAAAATAGAAAAACAAGGGCTCCATAACAAAATAAAAACTCGACCTAAAATACAAAAGTCACCACCAAATATGTTGCCATTGCCACAAGAAGAGTGAGGTTCAGTAGAACCAAGAGAGGAGATTTGTAGAGTGTGGATATGGGGAGCAAGCCACCATGCATCATACTCAAGCAATCTATCAAGTAGTGGTCAAAATTGACCATAGATTTACATAGCCCAAAAGTGCAGATCCAAGTGTTACATCTGACAATGAGTTGTTGGAGTAAAACAGTTGCAGCAATCCAGTGACAAACCAAGTAACTTTTAGGGGTAGAGGACTTTTGGTTTTGAGATTTGGTGGGGGGAGAGACATGGGCCGATGAAGGAGTGGAGGGATGAGAGGAAAGAGAGATGAGGGAGATGAGGGAGATGAAAGAAATGTAAAACAATGGAAACGGAAATTCATAGGGAAAAGTAAAGGATCTCTGGGCCAACGTTTGAAAATGCAGAGGAAGGGCTTTTGAAAGGAAACACAGAAAGTAAAGAAAGGAAGCCATACAAAAAGAGGCAGAATATGAGAAATTATAGAATAGTATTGTACCACCACGTCAGCTGGTGATACTCCCATTCAAAATTTAACATATATATAACTTTTTGACAACTGGAGTTAGGAGTGGTTGCGGTTCGGTAACCGCGAATTTTTGCCCAAACCGCAAACCGACCGACTATTTGCGGTATGGTGATTTTTGAAACCACAAAAAACGGTCGGTTATCGCGAATTAACGGTTTAAAACCGCAAGTTCTCAAGCATTCACAAAAATATAAATTCACAACCTCAACTTCTCAAGTATTCACAACCTAAAGAAAATTAAAGTTACAATTCCAAGCATTCCAATTAAAGTTAAACTTCTCAAGCATTCCAATTCCAAATCCTTTAAAGTTACAAACCAAAAGGAAAATGCAAAGCAAAATGAATTAAAGTTACAACTAAAAAGAAAAATCCAATTCAAAGTTAATTAAAGTTACAAACTAAAAGAAAATGCAATGCATCAATGTTACAAAGTAAAGTTACAAACTCAAGTGTTGGTGGTAAGTGGATTTGAAGAATACCGTTGTGTTGTTTGAGCACCAATGCTATCTACAAATAAAACAACATAGTTTAGTACATTTTATTATAAGAAGATCAAATAAAACAACATAGATTGGCTATACTTTGCGGTTTGCGGTAACCGCAAGTTTTGAAAATCAAATACTGCAACCGCAAATGCGGTTCGGTTCTTCATACCGCAAATGCGGTTCGGTTTACCGCGATTACGGTTTCATTGCGGTAAATAGTCGGTTGGTTTTTGCGGTTTTTTCGGATTTTTGGTTTAAAATGTCACCCCTAACTGGAGTATTCATTTTACCCTTAAAAAAAATTTTAAAAGAATTTCAAGAACTTACAAATAAAAACCCAAAAATCATTTGCCTCATCGATGGCTCCGAAGCCTCCTGTCATGACTATCTGTCTCTCTATATGTGAATAAGATGAGAACCCATGGCAAATGAATTTGCTCTTGATATATGTTGAAAGCTTGGATTGCTCAAAGACCATAAACTCACCTCCAAGAAAGTTTCAATCTAAATTCCTTGAACCCTACCCGTAATAGAGAGGAGGGAGGAAGAGGGAGGAAGAGGGAGGGGAAGAGAGAAAGACACAAAGACATGAAAAAGAAAGATCAGCGGCAGCCATGGCAGAAAGGTGGGGGTGGGGTAGGGGCTTTGTCGCAAGTTCAAAGAAGGGGTTGATGTTGCTGAGGAATTTTATATATATTATTATTTTAGATATTTCCATTATTGTTAAATTAAATTTAAATTGAAAAAGGGATTTTAAATCCAACTGTATAAATTTTATATTTTTCTTTAAAATGTTTTACACATGTCAAATTTTGAGTGGGAGGATCACCAGCTAACGTGATAGTATGGTATCATTCTATAATTTCTCGCAGAATAGGCACACTAGAGGTGCCGGAAGGAGCAGCCCCGAAGGGAGGTGGGAGAGCCACCAGCTGCTCAGAAGAGAACGGTGGAGATGAGAGAAATTTTAGAGAGAATGAAGAGCCTCTCTCTCTCTAAAGCTTCTCTTCTTTAAGCAATTGAAATTGTCTCTTTAACATGGAGTGTTATCATTGTTAAGCCCTATAAAATGTGCTGAGCCTTTTTGGTTATCATCTCGCCATCCTCCATCGTACATGTTGGTGAGATCCTAATTTGATTAAGAGATTTACTTCCTATTATATTATGATTTTATTTCTTTCTCTTTTGTACACATTTTGTGTAATTAGGTTTTCTATTTGTTTCCTTGTATGACCCTACTAGGGTTTACACCTTGTATTATAAATACCTCCTTTTGGAGAATGAAAATATATCATAAAATATTCTACCCCATATTGTTTGACTTGGCGTCAGAGCCAACTTTATGATGACCTGTGCGTTGTGCCCACCCATGTTCTAGCCCCAGTATTATTATTATTATTATTATTATTATTGCATGTGTTGTGTGTGCCCTATTAGGTTTATGTGTTGTCATGTGCCTTTGCTCTTTTTTGGTGTTTCCATTGTTATTATGGGTGACGATTCCAAGATTGTGCCAAAGGCTAGTGCTTTTCAGATGAAGGAGGATCATCCTTCACATGACTACTCTACTCCTATTACTTGTGACAAATTGGATGGCTCCAATTATGCCGCTTGGTCCGTGGTGCACACCTTACAATTACTAGTCGTCGTATGGCGAGCTTCATCAGTGGAAAGAAAACTGCTCTGCTTGCCACTTCAGATGCCTATATTGAATATGAAGAAGATAATTATTTGGTACAGTCATGGCTTCTCAATTCCATGACCAGTTGTGCCTTGTTTGATCAGTGTGCCACTACTTTTGATGTACGAGAGGCCGCTCAGAAGACCTATACTGTGATTCAGAATAGTTCTAAGGTTGTTTCAACTTCGACTGTAGTCCATCCTTACCTCTCAAAATGGAACATGTGAAAGTGTTTTATGAAAAACTCCATGCTATCTCGCAGGCGATTGATTGTCTACGTCCTAATAAGCATATGAATCCTAATGATGTGGCTCATCGTCAAAAAGAAATTGATGTCGATCAAGTCTACGATTTTCTTGGAGGGCTTGATCCGCCGTATAATGGTGTCCGTAGCCGAATCCTTGCTCAAAGTCCTATTCTGTCTCCTTTGAAAGCTTATCACATGGTGATGGAAGAGGACACTCGTCAATCTGCTATGCTCGGAGGAGTTGCTGCCCTCAAGGTGGATTCTGCCTGCTCACGATCCATCGCCCACCATGACTCGATAGGTCACCCATTTACCCAGTCATCCAATGCCTCTTCTGGGTCTCGTTCTGCTGGTTCTGCCCATGCCAAATTTAGTTCCCTTCAGAGACCTCGTAAGTGCAGTCATTGTGGTGGTGATCATTGTTCCGAGAAGTGTTTTAAGGAGCATGGTTACCTTGATTTGTTTGCTGACTACCAAGCTTGTATGTATGGCCCCAAGGCTACTTGTACTATAACCCAAGGAAAGACAGATTTCCCAACTCCATATGCCCATTTGTGTGCTTCTGATACCCTTCCAAATATTGATTCTAATACTTGGATAATTAACACTAATGCTTCTAATCATATGACTTGTGATGATAAATTGCTTGATGAGTTGTCTAGTAATCCTCTTAACCTCTACATAACTAATGCTAATGGCTTACCCTTGCTTGTTACAGGTGAGGGTAAAATTCACCTCACCCCTTCCTTGTCTTTGTCCCATGCACTCCTGGTTCCTAATATTCACTAGAACTTGTTATCTGTTGGTTGTTTACTTGAGACATTTAATGAATTTGTTATTTTCTATTCTACTCAGTGTTCTTTCCAGGATCTCAAGACTCACGAGACAATTGGACATGGTAAACGGATAGGGGGTTGTACTACTTGACTTTATCGGCTGCAGTAGTTCGTGATTGTGTTGTTCAGAGTGGCACTGGCAAAGACAAACAACAAATTTGGTTGTGGCATCGTCGCTTAAGGCACCCGTCATTTGGTTATCTTAAGTGTTTGTTTTCGTCATTATTTCGTTCTTGTGATGAGTCTACCTTTCAATGTGAGACTTGTGTATTAGCCAAAAGCCATCGTATTGTTTTTCCCTTAAGTAATAATAAAGCTGCCAAGCCTTTTGATTTAGTGCATTCTGATGTATGGGATATAGCTCATGTTACTTCGAACGGATTTGTTGGTTTGTCACATTTATTGATGATTGTACTCGACTCACTTAGGTTTTCTTTCTCAAAAATAAAAATGATGTTGCTTTCGTCCTTATAGAGTTTTGTGCTATGATATTTATTCAGTTTCAGACTCAGGTCAAAGTATTCTGAGCTAATAATATAGGTGAATATATGAATAATACTTTTGCGTCTTTCTTCCGTGCTCACGGTATCATTCACCAAATGACCACTCTTTTTACCCCTCAACAAAATGGTGTCTGAAAGGAAGAACCAACAATTGCTTGAAGTTGCTCGCTCTCTTATATTAAATATGTCTGTTCTCCATCATCTTTGGGGGGCATGCTATTATGTTTGCTGCCTATTTGATCAACCGTACTCCAAGCCAGGTTCTTGATTTCAAAACTTCGCTTGATGTGCTTAGTGACCATGTTTCCACTGTCTTCGTCTTTAAGTTGCCCCCTAAAGTTTTTGAGTGTGTTATCTATGCTCATGTATACTCTTATCAAAGGAGTAAACTTGATCATTGTGCTATGTTGTGTGTCTTTATTGGTTATTCTTCTACTCATAAAGGTTATAAGTACTATCATCTGGCCACCCAGAAGGTGCATATTACTTTGGATGTGCCCTTCCATGAAAAATGTCCTATTATGTTTCTCCCTCCTCTCCAATTCAGGGGGAGAAAGGGAGTGAATTAGAGAGTCTTAGACTTGAATTGGAGAATCATGTGTTTAAAGATATTGCTCTCAGGAAGGAAGCGATCGGTCGCACTGAAGAAAAGGACCGGTCGCCTAGGTCTCGAGATTGAGACGTTGCTCTTTGTGAAGAAACGACAAGTCAACATTTGGACCTCGACCAGTCACCCATGTTTAGAGATGAACAAATTGTTCTCGGTGATGAAATGATCAGTCGCACCGAAGAAAGCGACCGGTCGCTTGTGCATGAAAATAGTGACTCTTGTGATTCTTGTGTAGCTGAATTCGATGCAAGACCCCCCTTTGTCCAGCCACTGCTCCAATCAAATTATGATAGTGAAACAAGTGAGGTAATCCCTGATGTTTTATCTATGCCAAGTTATGAGTTGTCCCCACGTACCACTCGTGGGAAACTTGAAGTACAATACTCACCTGATATATATGCCAAGTCTAAGTATCCCATTAGCTATTATGTGATAACTCATCATTTATCTAAGTCATTTGCATCATATTTGTGTCAATTATCTAGTGTATATGTGCTAACTAAGTTGCATGATACTATTTTTGACCCCAAGTGAATGAATTCCATGAATGTTGAAATGGAAGCTATGAACAAGAATGCAACTTGGGATTTAGTTCCTTTGCCATGAGGGAAGAAAGTTGTTGGATACAAATGGGTGTTCACATTGAAGCATAAGGCTGATTGTTCCATTGACCTTTACAAGGCTAGATTGGTAGCGAATAGTTATACTCAAACCTATGGAGTGGATTACTTAGAGACCTTTGTTCCAGTAACAAAGCTCAATAATGTTTGTGTCCTCTTGTCCATGGCTGCTAATTGTGACTGCCCTTATTGCAGTTTGATATCAAGAATGCGTTCCTACACGGTGATCTCAATGAGTAGATATATATGGATTTTCCTCCTGGTATTCATGCAACCTCTGAAGAGGGTGTTGTGTGTAAACTACAAAAGTCCTTGTATGGATGGAAGCAATCTCCTAGAGCGTGGTTTGAAAGGTTTGCAGCGTCTATGAAGCAATTTGGCTATGACAAGGCAACTCAAACCACACCTTGTTTTTCAAGCATCATAAAGGTAAATTGACGACTTTAATTATTTATATTGATAATATGATTGTGATGAGGGATGATTAGGCAAAGACTGGAATATTGGATCATAAACCTATTGATACCCCGAGTGAACAGAATCACAAATTGGGGTGTATCTTGATCAAGTCAAGTCCCTACTGATAAAAAGCGTTATCAACGACTTGTAGGGAAATTGATTTATTTAGCTCATGCATGTCTTGATGTAGCATATGAAGTGAATGTAGTAAGTCAGTTTATGCATTCTCCAAGTGAAGATCATATGGGTGTTGTGATGCGTATTTTAAGATACCTAAAGGTTTGGCAAGGGGTTTTTGTTCTCTCAGAATGGCCATATGGATGTGGAAGGATATACAGATGCTGATTGGGCTAATTCAATTACTAATAAGCGTTCTACTTCTGGATATTTCACATTTGTTAGTGATAATCTTGTTACTTGGAGAAGTAAGAAACAAAATGTGGTGTCTTGATCAAGTGTAGAAGCTGAGTATCATGGTATGGCACAAGGTGTGTGCGATTTATTGTGGTTGAAAATACTATTGGGAGAACTTGAATTTGGTCCTAAGAAACCTGTGAAATTGTGATAATAAGGTTGTGATTGCAATTATTCATAATCCTATCCAACATGACCGTACAAAGCATGTGGAGGTTGATCAACACTTTGTTAAAGAAAAATTGGATGATGGGATTATTGCATTTCCTTTTATGAATTCTGAGTATCAACTAGCAGATGTTCTTACTAAAACTGTGGCGACTACTATCTTTCTTAACTCGCTTGACAAGTTGGGCATGCGTGACATCTTTGCTCCAACTTGAGGGGAAGTGTTGGCGAGATCTTAGTTTGATTAGGAGATTTATTTCTTATTCTATTAGGATTTTATTTTCACTTTTGTACAAATATTGTGTAATTAGGTTTTCTATTTGTTTCCTTGTATTACCTTACTAGGGTATACACCTTGTATTATAAATACCTCATTTTGGAGAATGAAAATAAATCAAAAAATATTCTACCCCATATTTTTTTACTAGACCTTTTTTCAAGTTCAATCTTTGCTCTTACTTCGCAGCAAAACTGACTTTTAATTTCCTCTCATGGGTTGAACAAGCTTTCATATTCAATAAATGAAGAAAGAGCACATGATGGTGGTGTCTCCAACATCCTTAAGCAAGATAAGATGTGGGTTTGCTACACCACACCGTGAAATTCTTTTACAAATGTGGGGAGAGAGAGAGAGAGAGAGAGAGAGAGAGAGAGAGAGAGAGAGAGAGAGAGAGAGAGCAAGATAAGATGTGGGTTTGCTACACCACACCGTGAAATTCTTTTACAAATGTGGGGAGAGAGAGAGAGAGAGAGAGAGAGAGAGAGAGAGAGGTAGGTGGGAGATTGGGTTTTGGTTCCACTACTTTGGTAAAGAAGACAGAGTTTTCTTGGGATAACATGTGTGAAATAGGGTAAGTAACACAATTACTAGAGGAGACACCAAAATGATCTGGTTTATTCCTTACGCGGGATGGGTATCTCCACTCTTGATTGTCAGCAACTGGGTTCAAAGACAGAGACTCGAAATTGTTAGACCCAATAGACAAAAGAGAAGGATTAGATGTTTGTACCTCAGATGGTGCTATTACAAACGCATTCTCATGGGAAGCCGATTAGAATAGCGGAGTGGTATTAACAGAGGGGTTAGCTGCAGAATCAGTTCCGTCAACTTCAGTAGAAATAATATTAGCCGCAAAATTCTCTCTCTTCTAATAGGTTTTGTAGACCACAGGAGCCGGAATAGAGGGAAGAGATTGGAACACCTTGAAAGTCTCATTGCCCTCTAAAGCAGAAGATGACTCCCGTTGAGGTTCAATGTCTATCTGTAAATCTGCCACATTCTGATTCAAGCTCAAGCCCAAAATCTCATCAACTAGTAACTCTGTCAAATAATCACTAAACTCCAAATGTGCCAAATTCTCACCTTCACAATATGGATGCTCTCTATGAAAGGGAGAATTGGAGATATCCTGAGAAAAATAAGAAGTGTGTTCCTGAAACTCAACATCCATGGAGACATAGTACTTGTTCGTGGGAGGATGGAAACACTTGTACCCATTTTGGGTAGAAAAACAACCCAAGAAAATACACTTGAGATTTTATCATCAATAAATGACACAAACCACTTAGCACCAGAAGAAGTAGGAGTAGAAAATGGACCCCCAAACATCAGTGTTAACAATAGCAAAGGGTTGTTCACTTTTATTGGAGGAATGTTGAAAAGTAACTTGATGATTCTTAGCCAAAATGCAATGTTCACACGGTAAACTAGAACTCAAAACTTTGTAAATAATTTAGGAAATAAGCGTTCCAAATACAAGAAAGATGAACATCCTAAACGACGATGCCATAACATAATCTTCTTTGGTTCTGATGTATGATCCCCATCAACTTGAAACACAAGGCCAACAGTGTTAGTCTCTTCAAAATAATAGAGATTACCCCTCTCCTTACCAATTCCAATCATCATCTTCGTGAGAAGGTCTTGAAAATTACAATAAGTGGGAAAGAAGGTTCCTTAAGGCCATTTCCAGCAGCCCCCTCGGGCTCGGGCTGGGGGGAGAGCCCAAATGCCAAAGTTCCAGCAACAAAGGCTGGCCCGGGCAGTGTGGGGTCCACTTGCCTGGGCTGGCCCGAAGGCAGGGGCTGCCCGAGCAGCAGCCCGAAGGCAGCTGACGTCAGCAGCGCGCTATTTTTTTTTTTTTTTTTTTCTTTGCCACGTGGCGCGACCTGGTCCTTCCGATTTCCGAATTTTCATCCAATCCAACGGCCTGGAATTTTTCAAGGCAAAAAATTATGAAAAAAATCTTAAAAAATTTTAAAAAAACCCCAAAAAATACTGAATTTTTTTTATAAAATACCAATCCATACTCTTCACTTTTAACAACAAATTCACTTTCTACTAAATAATTTTTTCACTTTCAACTCTAAATTTTTCTCACTTTCAAGTTTAATTATTCACTTTCTACTCAATAATTTTTCACTTTCAACTCTAAATTTTTTTCACTTTTAAGTTTAATTATTCACTTTCTACTCAATAATTTTTTCACTTTCAACTCTAAATTTTTTTCACTTTCAAGTTTAATTATTCACTTTCTACTCAATAATTTTTTCACTTTCAACTCTAAATTTTTTTCACTTTCAACTCTAAATTTTTTTCACTTTCAAGTTTAATTTTTCTCTATCAAAGAAACTATTAAATAAAATTCCTTCTTATTCAAAACATTCCATACATAAAAAAAACTAACCACAACCAAAGCATTAAATATATAAAAACAAACAAACTACAACCAAAGCATAAAAAAACCAAACATAACTAAACATAAAACATAAACATTAAAATCTTAAAAATGTTCTTCACTTCACTTCATTCACCATCATTGCCTTTCACCGTCCATAAATGCTCCATTAAGTCAACTTGACGGCGTTCACGAATATATGAAGATTGCATCTCCGTATATCGATCAATCATACGGTTCATGAAAAGACCATCTCTAACCAACGGTTCATGCTCCATTGGTGCTCCATTTGGCCCTATTGGTTTTTCATAAATTCGGGTCAAGGCCGTGTTCATGGGATCGGGTTCGTACACCTCTTCAGCTTCGTAATCATACTCATCCTCCACAATCATGTTATGAAGGATGATGCATGTCATCATGATGCTCCTCAACACCTCCTCATCAAACATACGCGTCGCACCCCTAATGATCGCCCACCGAGCTTGGAGGATACCAAAACACCTCTCCACATCCTTTCTGTAACCTTCTTGATATGTAGCAAATAATTTTTGCTTCTGGGTTCGGGGATGCGGAAGTGATTTCACGAACGTTGTCCACCTCGGGTAGATCCCGTCAGCTAGATAATACCCATTTTGGTAGACGGTATTATTGACTTCATATGTGATTTTTGGGGCTTCTCCTCTCAAAACTTCATTGAACACCGGGGATTGACCCAGGACGTTCAAGTCATTTTGAGATCCAGCAACTCCGAAAAAGGCGTGCCAGACCCATGTATCGAAACCTGCAACGGCTTCAAGGATGATGCTTTTTTGGCCTTTCCGATTTCCGTAATCACCCTGCCAAGCAGTTGGGCAATTCTTCCATTGCCAGTGCATGCAGTCGATGCTACCAATCATTCCTGGAAACCCTCTCCGTTCGGCTTTCTGCAGAAGTCGTTGCAGGTCCCTGGGCGTGGGTCGGCGCAGGTAGTCCCTGGTGTACAGAGTTTCGACTGCATCACAAAATCTAACCAAACTCTCCAAGGCAGTGGACTTCCCCATCCGGGTAATCTCATCCACCTGATCAGCAGATGCACCATACGCCAACATTCGTATAACAGCTGTGAACTTTTGTTCGGGAAGCAGTCCCAAAACACCAGCACAATTTCTCTTTTGAACAAAGTATTCATCATAATTGCAAATATCATGCATAATTTTATTGAACAAATGTTGTTGCATTCTATACCTCCCTCGAAAATGAACATCAGAGTACAGAGATGTTGGGATAAAATAATCTTCCATAAGATTCTTACCCCGAGAATGCCTATGTCTGTCAACATTTGGGCCACGGCCTTCATGTGAACCACGACTGCTCTGGTTTTCTTCATCAAGCATGGCCACAGCCATGACAAGTTGCTGATCTAGATCTCTCTGCGCTCTTTTGCTTGCAGCTCGTCTACGCCTTCTTTCTCTTATTTCTCGCTCTTGCCTGTCCAAGACCTCTTCCATGTCTGACATTGTGAATGGAAGATGAAATATGAAATATGAAATCTAAAATATGATAAATGAAATTTTTGAGAAGATGTAGTGTGAGAGGTTTGTGAGCTGAGCCTTTGTTTTATAGAAAAATTTAGGTCGATAGACATGACACGTGGCGCAAGTTGATAGGGTGAAAATCTTATCTGAAATTTGGAATTCAAATGAAATGTATCTGAAATGTGAAATTCAAATGAAAAGTTGAAATTCAAATGAAATTTATCTGAAATTTGAAATTCAGATGACACATGGCGCAATTTTATAGGGTGAAAATCTTAGCCGAAATTTGAAACTCGGATGAAATTAAAATGAAATTTAAAACCAAATTTGAAATTCATATGAAATTAATATGAAATTGAAAACTCGAAATTTATCTGAAATTTGAAAAAAAAATTTATCTGAAATTTGAAACCGAAAATCTTATCTGAAAATCTTATCCGAATATTTTATCAGAAAATCTCATCCGAATATATTGTCAAAATTAATTGTTTAGGTAAACAAATTTGTGAAAAAAACAAAAAATTGAATAGTACCCCCCCTTGCCCTGGCAACTGCTGGAAGTGCAACTTACTTTTTGCAAGGGCAGACACTATTCCTGTGAATAGTACCCCCCCTTGCCCCCCCCTTGCCATGGCAACATTTTGACTGCTGGAAATGCCCTAACAATTTAATTGTTTAGTAATTTGATGAACATAGAGCAAATTATTGGAAAGAGAAGGAACATATAGGATAGAGGACAATGACAGAGTAGGTGTCAAACTAAGGGAACCAGCTCCTTGAACACAAGTAAGAGCACCATGAGCAACATTAACTGAGCTGCGATGAGGTGCAGTAAAAGTACAAGTGAACCAAGAGATTTGTGTACAACAATGACATGGTGAATATTTGTTTAGACCTAGATTCTTTGGGCCCTTCGATGGGCCCCGTTTTGGGTAATTGAAAAGAGGTTTTCTTTCTTACTTGAGATCTTAAGAAAATCTTGGTGATATGATTACACGAGAAAATCTTTGATGGGCCCCGTTCTTGAGCACCATCCATTGTAATTGTTCATCCAATATATCAACAAGATTTTCTTTTATTACAATTCAAAGTCTTTCTCAGCACCATTTGATCCATATCTCAACAAAAATTCTTAGTCTGCTAAGTTTGTTTGTCTGAGTATTACAGTTGCCTAATAAGGACAAACCTTGTTGCCAAGGTAAAAGAACCAATGGCCTTGATGTGTTCTTTTCTCGATCACAATCTGACGCACTGCACACACCACAAATCTCAACCACACACTCGGCCACCGAGACTACCATGCTGGCTTGCCCCGCATTCACACATCCAAAGAAAAGACACCAAGTGCTCAGATTTCTCAGCCGGTTGAAATTTGATTTCCTTTTTGTTATCATAATTGATGTACAAAAAAAAAAAAAGGCCGAGAGGAAATACTAGTACAGCGTGGTGACTTGAAATCTAGGACAAATATAGTATCTCCCTAGTTTAGAACAGTGTTACAGCAAATGGGTCAGATTTCTTAACCACCAGCAATCATGCAGCATCCATCCATCCAGTCCAAGTTTATTCTGAAATGAGACTTGTTCAGAGGTTACCTTAATAAAAAGGGTAAAGAGAACCTTGAACAACTTGCCAATGCCAGAGCCATGACGTTATAACTCAAGCCCTATCCTAGTAGCTTCTATTTGTGTCCGACCCTAGTTAATCCAATTCAACGAAATCATATGCAAGGTGCATATGAGTAACAAACAAAAGAGGGCAAACTGAAGGCTGAAAAGATCACAAGCACAGCCCACCAACCAATAATCTGGATGGATAGCAGCGCCTGGTAAAGTTACTAAATGGTAATCTCTTAACGTACCAATTGCAATCATTCAGCTTGGGATCACAACAATTCATTGGAGTATTCACAAAGCAATCATGTAAGGTACCAAAATTGTTTTTGTTGTGCAATCGTACAAAAATGAACAGAACACCCCTTCCCTCACACCTCCCCCCCTATTTACACAATAGAGTACATATGATCTGAGTCACATTGTCCGCAAGAATCCTCGAACATCAATCAGGAAGCTGTTCAGATTTTTCCTGAATACTTGATAGTTCTTCCGATCAAGAGTAGCTGAAAGCTGATTCGCACTTGTAAGACACTGCAATGCATTTGTCAGCCTCGATTTCAAGGTTGCATTTGCCTGCCTTTCTATCAACTCACTGCCTAATCTCTGCACAAAACCAAGAACAATTTATGAAGAAAGAACGAAGAATAATTTATGAAATGAGGAGTGATAATTTATGATTGGAACCTACTTAATATAATCGGACTACACACAGGCAACTCATCTAGCAGTATTGGAGAAACGAATTGACTCAAATAATGGTGAGGTAAAAAGACACAGCTTTGACTACTGCCATAAATCAGTACAACCTCAGAAAATGTGATACGTGTGTAATAGCCTATAAGGAAGAGGAAGAGGGGGGGGGGGGGGGGGGGGGGGGGGGGTGTGGTAGTTGGACAGAAACCCAAAAAAATCTTGAACCAATATAGCCTAGGATACAACCAGAAATAATAGACACTTCATTACCATACAAGCACTTCAAAACATAAACACGCAAAAGTCAGTCATCCAATTGAAAGACCCTGTTAACATTATAGAAAAAGCTTCGAGAGAACTACCTGGTATAGGCTTTGTTCACAAAGTATCAAAGGAAGAAGAGCATCTGCTGCACTGCTGACCAGGTCAGGACTGAAATCATGAAAATGAAAGCTTTAAATTAAGATGGCAACAAAAGCAACAGGATGAACTCCTTAAACCACCATGTGCGTCTCAGCCTTTACCTATAATCCTCAAAAAGGAGTAACTGCAGTACTGAGCGAAGGAACCGGCTCAAAATGCCTTCCTTAAAATTTCCACCAGGATCCTTAAGACCTGCAGCATGTGAGCCCAAGCCTACTTTACCAGCACTTGTTTCCACGTAGTGGTAGGAAGCAAGAGCTCTCAAAGCTCTCAAACACATATCAACGATTTCCACGTCCTAACAAAACATTCGACCAAGCAGGTTCAGCAAACAAATTTCTTGTATAAAGAAACAATGCCAACGCATGCACATATAAAAACATAAAATCCACAAACGCCCAAAACTAACATACATAAAATGCATTTTTCTAATGATGTACTTCGTCTCTTCTTGGTTGTTTAGCTCGCAGGTCACCACATGAGCATAATATACAGCAATACTTGCATATATCTGTTACCTAAATTGGTTTCCACCACTATTATTTAAAGTTTAAACACTTAAACTACCTGATGGTGAAGACCAAAATCAAGAGTTCCTAGTACATGAGAAAAGGCTTCGCTGTTTAGTTGTGCAACTGTTTCAGGATAGACCTCCAATAAATGTGACAGCAATGAGAAGTACTGCACAAGAATTATACCATATATTAGCTTCAGAAAATAAAGAAACAAGGGTTTTTCCCTCAAGAAGGATAGAAGGTCTCACATCATAGCAAAACTTGGGGTATTTCAGCAGGTCCAACGATAGCAGAGGAGTAACTATATGAAGACCAAAATAAACGACCTGCAAGAGCAACGTGTCAGATATTATCTACAATTTTGTCACAGGAATGAGATTCAAAGCTACCTGAGATATGTTTGTGGCATGTGTCGCTGTAGAATCGGATGAAAAATCAACCTGCAGTTATGTATTCATCAATAGATTCATAAAAAGCTTAATAGCAATGAACAGATGAACAACATCAATGCAAAAACAAAATAAAAAACCATACCAGATCTTTGGAACAAAGGCTTGAAAGGAGCTGGAGAAGAGCACGTAGATCCTTGTATTTCTCAGTCTTTGCTTCAGTAAGTAAGCTGGTTGACAGACTTATTGATATCTGCAAGAGCAATGAAGACGTAAAGCATGCAGATAGGAAACTAACTGGTTATTATAATCTTAGTGGGATACAGCTGCAACAATCATGATTTCACAATAAACGATTCATACCATCCAAAATCACTAATTATGCACAAAAACAGAGTGCAATGCCCAGAAGAAGAGAATACCTTGCCAATATTGTTTGATGAGTAAAGCTGAAGCAAACTCATGCAGAAATTAACAACAATAGCAGTTTCCTGAGCCTCTAGATAGCTTATTTGTCCATCCACCCAAGCAACTACAAACTTAAGTATCAGATATACAACTGCAGACTAAACAATAATTGAAGATCAGTATAAATGAATGTACTACCAAAATTCCATTAAAAAGATTCACCACAGGTCAAAGCATAAGGGAACAGAAATCCTTAAGAGTTAGAGGGATTCGAATACCAATGCTTCAAAGTGAATTGCAAATACTACTGAGTGATTTATGAATGTGAAAAAAACTTAATGAAGGAAATGGGCAAGGTATCTGTACAATTTTTGAAAAACATGCACAAATAGGAAGAACGAATTTTATTATAATTACTCTAGAAAGGGGGAGGTCTGAGAAAAATGGAGCTTTGAAAGTCGACATACTGTGAAAGAAAAATACACAATTGTAAATGAATACAAATAATACCTCATGTTTGTAGACCTCAAGAAGAACTAGAACAGGATTCATTACAGAGAATCCCAACTCATAAATTGCTTTTTGTGTACGAGGTTCTGAAGCACTGGCAGCCCCCCGAAGCCTCTCCAGCAAGCAACTGACCTACAAGATGTTGTGATGTTATATTGTTCTTGTAAGAAAATTAATAGAACTTCTTTCAGAATTTCTGTCCTCACCGGCAGGATAATATCTGGTTGTTGAGCAATGCTTTTAAAGTCAGACTTGCTTGACATTTCCACAAGATAAGTTGCCATGTGACCCATGAGATCCCTCACATACCTTAATGAAATGTTACACAAAAATTAATCTGTACAACATCACAAGTTCTACAAGATAAATGGTAGGCAGCGAAGGAAACTTAAAATGGAAGACCTACAGGTTTGATGCCTCTGAATTTCTCAAGCCAGAAGCTGAATGAACAAGTGTCTGAGCAAGCGAACGCTGGAGCAGAAGGAACAAATAGATGACACAAATGAAAAATGATCAATAGCTCCAAGTCAAAGCATATTAAATTCTCACCTGGTGAGCTGTATTTAACAAGAACAAAGTTTTTTCATTAGCAAAAGCATTTGCCAGGTCACGCCATGAATCCTGAGAACAAAGTTAGAAAATCAAGATAGACACACGAGTATCATTTCTTGCATATAAATTATTATGAGATAACAAATAATTCATGTCAAACTTAGTTGTAAATAGTTTCATTAATCTTCGCAAGAGAGGTAAGCACCAAAAGCTTGTTTACATATAGCTCCAGTTCTGGAGAGTTGATAATCCACAAGAATATAAAGGAATAACCACTTGAAAAGGAGCATCTGAGCTTTTACAAGTACCAAAAGTTGACAATTATAGAAAAGAATTTCTTCATAATTAATGGGATAATAGAGAGCGCTGTTCCAGCAGTATTTTATGCATTTCAAAGCACAAAAATGCATGCACTTATCTAACTCACCAATACAACGAGGTGAACACAAATATGTTTTTGCTGCACAAGGGCATTAAGTAGCTGGAAACATGTGAGCGCCTGTCAAACAAAACCGAAAAATCATCACCAGCCTTATCTTAATCTGGACAAGAGAATAGCACTAATGTTTGAAAAGAGTACCCTCTTAACACTCTCAGTATATTATGTACCACAGTTGTAATCAAGAAACATGATAGTGGAAGTAATGTTTGAAAAGAAAAGTACAACATCAAAGACAACCACCATGAAAAAGGTTTTGTAGCACACACCTGCAGATCCTTCTCTCCAGGATATGACATCAGTGCTGTCAAGGATATGCGCACAATAATGTCAAGCACAAATTTTCCTGATTGTGTTCTCCAAAAATTTGAGCAAGATGTTTCTGGAGTTTCTTTCTCTATTTTCTTCACGAGACATTAGGTATGTACAAGACCATCTTGCAATGAACCATATAACAGCCTGCACAAAACATCAGCTCTAATAACTGAACTGGTAGAACGGCTTGAAGACAGCAAGACGGAATCCCAAAGCAGCTGTTGAAAAGGACAATAGGGATGGAATACAGGAGGCTTAATAGTTTTTCAAGAAATTACAAAACCTCAATTCCTTCATAGAGCCCAAATGAATTGTTAATCCTTAAATAAATGATAACCTACTCATCCCCTACCCATGAATGTACACTATGTTCAACATTCAAACGTGAACTTATTCCAATTCTCAATCTTGAACCTAAACACATATAATGGAGCACAACGTAGCTTCCTATTGGTTAGCAAAAATAGCATCCTATACAACAAAACAAGATAGAACTAAGAAAATATGTTTTCTCAAAGAATCTCAAGTTCTTCAGACACCAGATCCCTCAAGGCCTGTTGGCGTTGAGGACATTTGGTTCATATATATATGCTTCCTGCAAGGTATAGTTGCACACCAGATATGCATTTGACACCCATAATAATGAAATGCATGGCACATAAGGTATGTAGTATGGGACCACAAAAATGAATTTAGTGTTACCTCCATGAGTCGAGGACTGAAAACTGATGCTCTCATTTCTGGTTCTAAACTTTTCTCAGCAAACCTTATGATTGAGCTGCATCAAATAATTAAAGCAAGAGAAAAGCCAACACATAAACAAGATGTCTAAATAAAGGTACTTGATTTGATTTAAGATCATGAGTTTGTGCTTTAATGTATGATGTGTGTGTGTGTGTATATATATATATATATATATATATATACGAAGTCTAATTTTCCATTTATCTCATTCCGTATCTTGAATAACAAAGTTCAAAGTCTAATTTCATCTTCAGAAAGGCTGACGGGAAGTGAGAACTTTACCTGCAAAGAATGACAAGAGGATGATTTTCTGCTTCCAGATTTGTGGAAAATGAATTTGTATAGCATTTGGAATCTGAACAACACAACATAAACAATAATCAGAATTCAGAGTCATGGACATTCAAAATAGACTTTCAATTAAAGATAAAAATTTATGGTCACCCTCTTTGTCTATAGAGTGTCAACAAACGAGAAGACAGTTCAGCACACTCAAACATAAAAAAAGTGACTACTAAAATCAAGTAGATTATCCTAATATACGAAAAAATTTGTGTAATAAAATATCCCTCTTCCATAAGGTCTTATCGTATTATTAATTATTCTTTAGCTTTCTTCCAACAATCAGAATTGGGGACCACAAAACACTTTCATACTTCCATATGATTTTATGAACTCTGGGGAATGAACAACACATGCAGTAGTTAATGCACATCAAAGCTCTCAAATAAGCAGAAATAATTGACCCATTACCAGGGGTGTTTCTCCCTCCCCTTCATCAGCAATTACATGCCCAGTAATGAGTAACAATGAGTAAAGTTCCTCCAAAGTTTCAGTTGGATCAATAATGCCCCTGCCCTAAAAACAAGTGAATAACTTATAAGTAACTGGATGAGAAGAAAAAGAAAAGAGACTTTAGCTATTTGTTACACTTCATTTGAGATAAGAAAGATTATTTTCTCCTGCTTTATTAATAGAGAAAATGAGCTGACATTAGAATGAAGAAAACTAAAATAGCAACTTTGATTTTTCCATCTTTTAATCAGAAATTCGGTAATTTCCATTAATTCATGAGCTTTTCCATGTGGTGCTCTCTTTCCTATAAGAAAAAAATATTACAGCAATCAAGCCAAGAAGCTTAATAGAAGAGAATTATGGAAAGTCAATACACGTTAAATGACTAATATATTGTAGAATATCCCCCACCATTGAGTTTCAAGAGCAACATTACATTACAAATAGTACTTGAGCACCAATATATGGTTTCAATAGAGATATCCTTCTGAAATAAAATGGTAAAGACACCTGACTAAGCCGTTCAAAACGCTCAGTAAACAGCCTTGTGAGCAAAGGAATGTGACATCAATTGCTGCTCTAGCAATAAGAGCATAGGAGCTTAACCTCTCATCCAAGGCTGCATTAACCATACAGTAGAAAGGTGAATAATATCAAACCAAAAGATTAAGTTAAGGTAATGATAATGATGATTGCTATTGTTATGTAAATACCATGCCACTGTTCTTCGTTTGAACAAGTCAACCAATATACATAATGACAGGAAGAGTCTTATACATAAGTCGCCCATACCTACAATGGATGCTTGAAGGTAGTCAGAGTCATCATCTTTAAATGCTGATGCAGAAGCAGCTGTATCACAAAGGATTCACCATCATGTACTGATTGATAATTGAAAAGAAAAGCAGGAAAAATGGTTTTGGGATCAAAACAACGAGAACAAAATAATATGTCAGAATTACCTTTTAGTTCAGCCGTACAATCAAGGCAAATAAACTAGCTGTGGCATTTTTCCCTTCAGCTGGAAGCAACGCATTCCCACCACTCCTATTAATTGGCTGAAGAGAATTTCCAAAAAAGAGAAGAGAGAGAGAGAGAGAGAGAGAGAGAAAGAGAAGAAACACTCAATAACTGCCTTAAACTTTAACATAATGTGAGAAAATAGAAACAACCCCGCCACACTGATCAAACTCCATTAAATAATATTTTTGTTCAAAATAACAAGGCTGATCCTTTCTAGTGCACTTCTCTCCCCCCTATCCTTTAAGGCCTTTTTTTAATTCACCCGGTAGAGCAGCTCTATAGATAGGGGTAGTAAGGCACAAGAAGCGGTGAGCAGGAAGTCGCTCTATTTAAAGAACGGGAATTGCACATTAAAGGGAAGCATGTATTATAGTAACATGGAATGACAATTAAACAAAACTAGAACAAACTAGAACTATAATATTTAAAATTGGTATCAATAAATGATCGATGACAAAGTAAGTTTACATTGTCCGACAAATATGGGGGAAGAATAAATCTCCACAAACTAATGCATACCATTTTGCATAAAAAATATAAATATAAATAAATAAACATTTACCACAAGGAGGGCAGTCCAGGTATCTAGTAAGATATCGCGTGCCTCCCAGCTCCACGTCTCTTCCTCAGAGTTATTAGTCATGAGGTTCTTAACGACTTCGGACATCAGTACGCATAACAAGGTAAGAGTGCCATAGGGCTGAATTCCAAAGCAAAGGGTGACCCCATTCAAACTAAATAACATGGGACAGGAAAATGCCATCATAACAATTACCTTAATATAAAAGATACTAAACAACCAATAATCAGAAACTCCACCACCGACCTTGTGATTTCAAGAGTTGTCAAACACAGAGGGAGTTGTAACCGTTGCAATGGACAACAACGCACGACAACCGTCGAGATCTCACTGAAGAAAACCAAATGAACTTGAGAAAATCATGAAAACAAAAAGAAATACTATATGTTAGGAGGAACTAATAATTGACAAGGATATAACCTTTCACCTTTCCACATCAATAGCTTTAGAAACAGCACAGGAGGATCAATCCCTGTATTATTCCAGAAAGCAGTTCGAGAAGATGGTGCTCATGCATTTGTACATTATCTAGATCATTGAACAAGTTACTAAAGTGACTGATGAAAGATAGATACAGAAGAAACCATATAACTATTATCACATAATAATCAATTTCTACTTGAGAAAACATTCAAAATCAATCTCCATTTTTAGTTGACCAGTGGTGTTACCATCAATTAGCCATAAATTAAACGCCCAAAACCAAAAAAATCCATTTAAGATACTAAAACTTTCAAAGGTTAATGCTAGGTTCACAGGAAACCAGATCATACCATCAACTCTGGCCCATATTGACATCGAGCGTAAGACTCTAGCAAAATTTATCACAAAGGCAGTTCCTAGTTTCAACCAAACTAAACAGGCATCTGACACATTCCATCAGTGATTATATCGTAATCTGAATCATACACAGGAAAGTAAATGACATTAACAAAATAAAACATGTTACAATTATAGACAGGAGGAAGGAAACAATTTTACCAGAAGGAAATATGGTTCCTGTCAAGGAGCAGAACTGTACATTAACTTTCGTGCAGCGACAGCTATGGGGGCAATCAAGCCAATAACCTTCACAAGAAAACTTCTGTCTCAGTGCTCCATATAAGCTCAAGAGCCACCTATATGGCCACCAGTAACCAAAAACATCACGCCAAGCAGGACCAGGCTACAAGTAACATAGAGAGACCAGAAAACTCATCAATCGCTAAAACACACACTCAATACTATACATATTGCAGGATGGCGAACAGTACATAGTTACAAGATTTTTGGAAGGTGCAAGTGTATTTCAGCAGAAAAGTAGTAATATGATAACGAGTATTATTCTTATGATTTTTATTAATAAGAAAAAACAAACTTTATTAAAAGGATTTTTGTAATATTTGACTGTTATTTCAGAAACCACAAACAAAACATATAAAAAGGTAAGATGACTCATCCACACACTTAGATCTATTCTCATGAGTGCTTCAGTCAATATGTTTATATCAATAATTTTCTATAATATGAAGACTTCATGCTATGAACTTTTAAAGAAGCAAATACCTGCACTAAGTTACACTCGGAGCAGCCTTCGGTGAGATCACTTCCTTGCTTGACTCCATCAGCAAATGCAGTTGTACTGAAACCCAGTCAGAATTTGAAGCATGAGGCGGAATGCAGCAGTGCAGACTTAAACTCAGGTATAGCCGAAGTCAGACTCAATTATTCGATTTGTGACGCTTAAAGCAGCATCTCGTGCCCAGCAGTAGAATGTATTGTTGAAAAAACAAAAACAACAATGTGTAAAGCAGAGAGGCAAATCAAAGACCGCAACATTTAATCACTCAAAAGGAAAATTCTGTTCGTAAAATAAATCAAGATGCTTTTAAAAACTGGATGCAAACGCCATAGTGAAACCTTGAATGGGTCTAGCTCATGACTTCCGCAATGCTCATTGAAACGGAAGTCCCATCACACGAAGTAGAGGAGAAAATCAGGAAACCCTAATAACCAAAGAAAATACTTGGTCCGTAAATTGGTAATCCTAAACGCTGAAGCAAAAACAAGACAGAACTAAATAACTTTAGATAATAAGCTGAAAAAGCGTATACCAGAGAATTCAAGGAAATTAATCCAGCAACTGAACATCTACACATATGCCATAAACAGCTGGTTTACCTGCAATCATAATTGGCTGCTCTAAGAATCCTGGATACCCAGGTGCAAAAAAAGTGGCTGAGAGATACACAGAACACTATGATAAGATATAAATTTCTACCTGATAGAAAAGGCCTCCTTTCATAGCTGAAAATTCAAGGCCTACACACAATACTTGGCAAGATAATTTATTGAAATGCTAATTTTTAAAGTTCCCATTTAAATCATAGCCAAACCAGGAATTCTCTCCTACATGAGTCATAGGCCAATTACATAGGAAATCATGCACCACTACCAGCCCCTGTTCAACAATTGAGCAGCCACAGAAGAAACCTTTGCTTGAAGTAGCCCTCGGGGGAAATTAGCATGTTGCATACAAACCAAAGACAAAACTGCAACAAAAATATACATATTCAAGGAATCATCAACAAAATATAAATAAACTAATGATTAATCATTATCATGTAAGAACTATACCAAATTAAAAGCATAACGAGTATATGGTTATAGAAGACAATTGAGGTATTTAAGGAAAGAGCTCCAGTTGTGAATAATATTATATTTCCTCTTTTATAAAGTAAACAAACTACAATAGTTGCGGAATAGTTTATTCAGAGGAAACCAGGAGCGATACGTTTCAGAGGACCTAACCTCTCTTGTTATCAGAGCTAAGAAAACATTCTCTAATTCGAATTGCCTGAAACCTTGCATGGCCACCTGAGAGTTCTCTGAAAATAAAATCACTAATCAGCATAATAATTCGATGGGACATTATAGTTCCCCAAACTCTTACCTTAATCTTGCACCATCAAGTACAGCAATCCTATTTTCATTATCATCAGCTCATGTACAGTTATTTAACCAAAAGATAAAAAGAAAACTACATTTATGTCTAACATGAATAAGAGTTTAATACCAAGAAATTTACACGCCTGGTATGGCTGGGGAGTCTGGGACAGTGACAAATAGTTGCTCAGCTGCAGCTGAATTCATATGCACTGCTCAAGGGCACCCAATGTAAGAGGGTGCTCTTACGCAAACTTGCATGCCTAGTGTCACAAGTAAATGCATGCGATGTACATATGTCTATAGAATTCATTTATTTGGATACCAAGGACATGACAAATGACATGGGTAAAAAATAAAAAAAAAAAAAAAAAAAAAAAAAAACGCACATTCGGAATCCAAATTTTCTAAAGTGTGCAGTCTCGAGTATTATTCAAATTCTAAATTCATGAATCCCACTACACAAGCAAGTCCTCCCAACTGCGAATTTGGTGGGAGGGTGTAGTGTTGTTCCTTTCACCAGTCGAATTTTCTTTTCCTGTTTTCGTTTATTATCCAACCAAAACCTCAAGAAGAATGTCCTCTCACGTGTCGTTCAACTCCTAACAAACAGGGACTCAATTATTTTCATGTCCTCGATTCGAAGCCCCAACAAGCCAAAGAGAGTGTGAGAGAAAAAGGAGTAACCCTGAATGAGGGTGCAAGCGACTTGATGGTGGCATGGTGACTGAAGCTGGCCCGTCCGCCGCCGCTTACCTCTCCTGGAAAATCCGTCCTGGTTTGCCTCCCCGAAATCCTCTGTTCAAAATAAAGATTATAAAATAATAAAAGCAACGACAGCAAAAGTCACTGGAATATCCCTATGCTGCCTCTTAGATTCAATCAAAATTTCAAAAGTATTTTGGAGTGCTACAATAACAGCAAGCACAGACAATAAACCTGCTACAGGAAAGAGATTAGGGCGATCAGGTGGCCTTAGTAGCTAAAGGAAAAGCTTAGATACCAGGGACGACGAGAGAGAGAGAGATGAGAGAGAGAGAGAGAGAATGTGTTTTGTTTTACAAGAGGGTGTTTCAAGAGAGTAAACGTGAAGACGAGAGAGAGAGGACCAGCGAAGGTGTAAATAATTGACTGGCATTTTTTATAGGGCTTTTCCCTTTTTTAAGTTAAACGTGTTTTCAATTGTTCAAATGTGTTGTGCTGATGTTAGGCTCAATTCCGGCGAATCGTGAAACCGGCCGACCAACATAAGTACGTTTGGGTTTGGTTTGGATCCAGAAAGAAAAAGTTAACGGTTTTAAAAATCAAACGGGACCAAATATGGTTGATTTAGTTTGATTTGGTTTTGATCAAGAAAAAAATAAACCGGCTTAAACCAAACCGAACTGTTTGTGTGTATATTTATTTATTTCTATTTTATTTTACTGTGTAATACGCTAATTAATTAATTACAATATATGAAAATTTGAATTGAGCTATATAGTTAGTGAAATATGAAGTTTTATGACATTTGAGCTTATGTATGGTTTTCGTACTCTAAAAAAATGATTTATGTATGAAGCAAGTTGTGAATTTGTTAGTTAAAATTGGGCAAACATGTTAAAAAATGCAAAAAGAAAGAGAATTGGGCTTTAGGCTCAAACTGGCAACCAAACCGTCTTAAATTGGTTTGATTTGGTTCGCTTCCCTTAATGACTTTTATTCAAACGAAACACAAACCAAACTGTCATATTGTATTGGTTCGGCCGTGGTTTTGAGGTGAAACCAATCCAATATGACCGTGCCCACCCCTACTGATAAGGTTTTCTAGGGGTGGAAATTTTTAATTGTAGGAAAATTCAGGGTAATGTAATCAATGGACATATTTTGGTTTCTGATTTGCAATTGGACAACCGGGGTGGGCAGTCAAACCGTAAAAAAAAAACGAGTTGAACCGAGCTGAAAAAAACAAAAAAAAAAAAAAAAAAAACATTGACCAAAAAAGTGTTAAAATCAAAGCATAAAAAGCCACACCGAATCGGTTTGCCAGCATCTTGACCCCACCCCACCATGAGCGCAGATTCAGACAGCCTCTTACACGTCGAGTCGTTCACGAGCGTGCTCCTCGCATATCCAATTTTTTTTGTCAATAAAAATAAGAATCAAATTGGACCAAACCGACGTATAATTTATATTTATTTTAAATATATCCAAACTTTAGCCCGTCCCAACTTTACAGCCACATGACTTTTCCTGGTTTCCCAAGCCCTAAGGACCCCCCTTTCTTAAACCCTAAAACGCCCCGTAGTTATTCCTTTGGGTTTTTAGTTTGAATGGCTTGAATTTTGACCGAATTTTGCATTTGGTCCTCATTCCAAAATTTTCTCATGGTCCTTCACTTAGAGTTTCGTTAAAACAAATGGTTCCACCGTTAATTCTACTATCGATTTTTTCGATACATTTATAGGTAATGGGTCTTTGCAAGTTTGAGTTTATTTCCCCCCAGTGTGAAACTCGCATTTCCCTCTAACGCCAAGGGCCAGCAGAGGGAGTTCTGTTGATGGGGCAAGTTTTGATCTTCTATGATGATAGGAACAACCTCAGAGATGAATAACCGTTGAAGTGGACACAAGATTGAGGATTTGCCTACCAAAGTTCAAGGAATATAGGAGGATGTTACTGCCCTTAAACACAAAGTTTCATTTGGAGATAGAGTTTGCAAATTGGACACTTGAGTCAATACAGAATATAAATAACCAAGTTTTCAAATTTCCATAAAGCCACGTGTATAACTAAAACATTCCAAGATTGTCAACGTTTGGAGAGATTCATAGCTCCGAAGTTTTCACTACCCCTTAGTCATATTTTCCAGACATGTTCGACACCATCATCATCACAGCATCCCAATGCTTAAAATAAACCAAATGCCCACACTCACCCTACTTCTCTTTTATCAATGCTCATCATATGCTTTAGCCAAAAAGCTTGGCTGAGGCTCAATTGCATAGAAAAGGGTGAGTTTTCTGTTTTGGGGGCTGTTGAATATCCCGATTCGCTTTGAGGTACAAATTGCGCCGAAGCTTGAGGCTAGAATGTTGGAGAAAGGCGGCCGAGAGGCTTAGGCTTTAAAAGTGGTCGGGTCAATATGGATGGTCGGGCTACGTCTGTAGACTTGAAAGTCACAAAATCGCGTTCAACTGAGTTGTTATTATATATATATATATAATATATTAGAGTTGTTTCGCGTACGGACGACTCCGTATTTTTCGAACGCCAGACTACTTGTTTTTTGCTCTTTCTTGTGCTAATAGATCACACACAAACCTTTTCATTTTCTTGGTACAGGTAGGATATAGACACCCTGCTAGGCAATACTTAAAAGTCAACATCACCTCTAGATGGGCTGTTCCTCATTGGTGAACTGTATAGAGAGATTTGGAGGCTGGTATGTGTGCCTTTAGTGCCTTTCTTTAATGATAAAAACGAAGAGAGCACAGAAAACAAAATGGAAAGGTTTCCTTGCCAGTGATGAATGATTCTTCTGATTATGTAAAAAACAAAACGAGTTCCGGACAGTAAGGATTTCCGGACGTCCGCACTAGAGAATATTCCTTAGATATAGAATATATTATATTATAAAGTAATATAATGAGTGATGGGGTAAGTGTTGCCTAGCAACGTTTGAAAAGTGGCGGCTGTTGTGGTAGGTGGTGCGGCGAAGGTGAGTAACTGTGCATAGGATGAAGTGGGCTGCTTTAGGACCTTTTACATATATATATGAGGAGGAAAATGGCATTGCGCGCAGGTTGGAACGTTAGCTTGCCTGTCCAACTGATGTTATAATATATATATAATTGAAAATATAAATCTAATATATATTATATGGATGGCAATAGAGAACTCGGATGCTCCAGTTTCCCGCCAACGATGCATAGCCCGATTTCGTTCCTTTCGGGGATTATGTGCACGACGGAGGCCTCACAGGCAAGAAATCAGAGATTTTTTTATAACGAAGTCCGAGGTCACAAAGAAGGAAGAATCAAGCCTGTCAGAAATTCAATCAATGCAATCCACGGAGTAGGAGGGGGGGGCTTGAAAGGAAAGATTTTTTTAAAGAAGAGTTGTACATTTGGTCATGCAATGGCCAAAACCATGGGGCCGATGAACATTCGTGCTGTCATATATAAAACTCACCCAAACGAAGATAAGAGGGGGGGGGGACACGACATCAGACAACAAACTGACTTGTCTGCCACACTTTTCTTTGCCTAGGACGTGTATGGGTGGACTTGGACTTTCAAGCACCTAGTGATAGTGAGTTCTTCCTTTTTCTAGGGCAGTTTAATATATTCTTGTCATTTAAAAGCGTGTTCGATGGATATTTGCTTGTATTTAAATTCAAGTTTATTTCAATGCGTCTACCGTTAATTGTGATAGATTCATTGAAGTTAAGTTAAAGTTATTTATTTAGCGGGGAACATGGTCATTCGCTTATCGCGTTCATGTCGTTGTTCTTGCTTAATAGTGGCTTTAAGTTATTTTATATAGCATTCAATTATGGTCTTTTCGTTTATTGGTAACCACAGTTAATGTAAATTGATAATTTTACTTAAAACCTCTAAAAAGTCACAAAATCATCACATACAAAACATAAACATCCTCGAGACCGAGAAGTGATAAGAGCTAGGGCAACAGCGGACGGGTTTTGGCTGGGGATCAGGTGTATCAGAAGTAGAAAGCACAATCAGTCATTACTTCACATCCATTTGGGCCAAAAATTGGGGTTGATAGGTGGCACACCTGCAACTCAAAAAAAGAAGGACCCAAAGTGCCTTCGTCCGACGCTCCGGCTGAAAGAGGGAACAGGTCACATTTTTTTTTTTTTTTTTTTTTTTTTTTTTTTTTTTTTTTTTTTTTTTTTTTTTTTTTTTTTTTTTTTTTTTTTTTTTTTTTTTTTTTTTTTTTTTTTTTTTTTTTTTTTTTTTTTTTTTTTTTTTTTTTTTTTTTTTTTTTTTTTTTTTTTTTTTTTTTTTTTTTTTTTTTTTTTTTTTTTTTTTTTTTTTTTTTTTTTTTTTTTTTTTTTTTTTTTTTTTTTTTTTTTTTTTTTTTTTTTTTTTTTTTTTTTTTTTTTTTTTTTTTTTTTTTTTTTTTTTTTTTTTTTTTTTTTTTTTTTTTTTTTTTTTTTTTTTTTTTTTTTTTTTTTTTTTTTTTTTTTTTTTTTTTTTTTTTTTTTTTTTTTTTTTTTTTTTTTTTTTTTTTTTTTTAATCAATCAGTTGGTTGACGTTAGGTAAATGTCTGGAAGGAGTTAGCCCAATTACCGTGTTTGTTTCATTACATCAAAAAAAACTTTACACTCCATATGCACATTCTATGTATGGGAATGGCATGTGTCTAACTTCAAAAACGCATCTCCTATCCATTTAGATTGCCCACGTGCAATAGATTTACAGATCCAGTTACTTTTCTCCTCTCCAACCCTCACATCTCCATTTCAGAGTCTTCATTTTCTATGCTCTGCAACCAGCTCCATATACATTTCGCACAATATGAGAATAACATAGCGTAATATCACACTAATCAAATGAAAGCATGCATCCGCTATAATATTTGCCACTATTTTGGTTCTAATTGTTATTGTCCAGTAACTTAAATCTAAATTTCTGTACACACAAATACACTAAGATTGAGAAAGACGAAGAAGAATTCAGGAGCAGAGGTGGAATTCGAAAAGGACCCTGGGTCTCTATTGTGTATTTACATGACTTTGAAATTTGACATTCCCAAAACCTATTTCATCATCATGTGCCTAAACCAAGTTCAACCGTATCATGGCATGTAAGCATCTCCCCGTGCATTTCTGCAGCCAACTTCAACCGAAAAAATGGCATGTTCTGCGAGGTGCAAGTAGCTAAGGAAATCTCAGCACTCAACACTCAATGTACTTCAACACGAACATACCACAATCGCCTCTGAAGCAAAACAAGAACTCGATCAATTCAACTAATGACATTCTAACATAATTGACAAATTAAAGTAATAAAATTAAATAAAAAGTTGTGCTCACTGATTAGCCTGTTGTGGAACTCCACACGATGTATTGGCCATGGACACCACCAATCTCGGGTGCACTCGTTTCGCGTAAACACCTTCTTCATAAAAGTCGAGGGTGTGCAGAAGATTTGGAATCGTAATTGACAGGGGGCCGAGTTTCTTCCTTTAAGCTCTGATCTGGAATGAGTGAAACCATTGAATCGTAGACTTTGATTTCACACTGAATCGATCAATCTCTAGAGCCACCCCAATGCTTATATTTTGCAACATACAAGGTACATACACCTTATACGTGTTCTGCCAATCCAATCCACAAGCCGGAACCTTGCCATTTACAACGTTCACTAAACTGGTTCTAATTTTCCACCCAACTTGCTCTTTTTTCCTTTTATTATCCGCAAAGCAAGTATGGATGTGATTCTGTGAAATAGAAAACAATCAATGGTTAAACAACTCCACAAAGCAAGTATGGGATAATTTGTAATTATTAACTGCACTTGGTCAAGGCCTATGCCATACTGATGTAGCACAGCCCTGGGTGTGTTAGTTTAAAACACTTAGAGCAATAAGACATAACAGATAAGAAAAGCTGAAGGGAAGAAAAGGGAGAAGGCAGGCAGAAATCAGAGAGTTTTAAAGGAATGTTTAATCAATATTCAAATCTGAATTGTAAAAGAACTACACAGGGTATTTATAGCAAACTAAAACCTAGAGAGAATAGAATTAAAATCCCCAGGTAAAACAGAAATCCTATTCCTAATAAAATAGGAAACTTAGAAATCCTAATAGGATTTGGAAAACTAACTTAGAAATCCTACTAGGATTTGGAAAACTAAAGAATATAGGAAACTAACAAATCAATTAGGAAACTAAACAATTTAGGTCCTATGCATCCTGCATCACATACCATAAAAAATACATCGGTCGTTGTCCAATCCGATATTTCTACTTCCTCCAACTGTTGTTGTCGCTTCCGGATGAGATACAAGCCCAAATCAATGTGCTGCACATGTTTTCCTTGTCAATCTCATAATCTATGCACATTCAAACAAATGCATAATCAATTAAACTTACATCTCCTTTCAGCCAACCGTCAGCTTTGACGAGGGAAGCGAAGAATTCAATCTCAGCTTCCACGTTGCCAAATTGCATCACCAAACTATGAATATAAAAAGTTTTAGAACACAACAATTAAAAATATATACACTCATGCCTTCTATCTCAAAAAACAAAGGACTTACTTTGGGTTATGGCGCCATTCCGAACAAAGTTTCAGCAATTTCACCATATCATCATGCGGAATCGCCTTCATTGGGTCTAACGTCCGAAGTCCGGTTGTCTTTGGCAAATTTTTTTAACCACTTCACTAGCTTCAACGATCTTCCACATAGGAATAATCCTCTTCCTCTTCCGTAATTGGACCCTCGTTCCACACCTTGACCTTCATCATTCAACCAAACGTTCAACTGAGATAACACAGCTGTAGGTTGATCCAAATCAATGTCCCCGAGAGTAACCTCAACCTTTGTCCCTCCGTGCTCTCGCCAATGTCATCGCCAACCAACATAACTTCATCATCCTCTTCCTCACATTGGTTTCTTTGCACTTCCTTTTCCTCACTTCTCTGTCTTTTCACTTCCTTGCTTCCTTTTTTTTTTTTTTTTTTTTTTTCCTCTCCCTCACATGCTTTTTCTTTGCAGTTCTTCCTCTCCCTCAATGCTCTTTCTTTGCGCTTCCTCTCCTTTGCTGCTTTTTATTTTCACTTGCTCTCCCTCACTTCTTTTCCTTTGAGCTTCCTCTACCTCCCTTGGTTTTCTTTGCACTTCACCTCCTTCAATCCCCTTCTCTTCCTTTTCCTCTCCCTCATTTCTCTTACTTGGCACTTCACCCCCTTCAATCCCCTCCTCTTCCTTTTCCTCTCCCTCATTTGTCTTACTTGCCCCTTCACCCCTTTCAATCCCCTCCTCTTCCTTGTCCTCTCCCTCATTTCTGTTATTTGGCCCTTCACCCCCTTCAATGTCCTCCTCTTCATTTTCCTCTCCTTCATTTCTATTACTTGGCCCTTCATCCCATTGCATGCCATCCACTTCCTCATATCCCTTAAATAGATGTGACACGACACAACGATTCGTCCTCTCTTTCAGTAAAGCTATGTCCCTTCTCACTTCCTGCTCAAAATGAGGACCTAAACAGTGGCCCAAATTTTTTCCATCCGTATGACCTTTAACTCAAGGACGTCCTTTTCCCGCTTTACTTGAAACAACTCGGACCTCAACAAGCTTACCGCCTTGTTCAACTCATCAAGGTCAGCACATGAAGAAGGAATTGACTCTGCCGAGACAACAGCAGGGCGACCCTGTGGCCAACTCCAATATGGTTGTCTCATTTCCTCTTCACTTGGACATAGCGCCCGCAACTGAACTGACTGTTTCAGAAAACAGACAAGAGTCATATGCAATCATTCTACTTCATAATTTCATTGAATCTTATAAATAGTTCCAAGGGCTGCAAACCAAACCTCTTTGCTCTGGAAAAAATAATTGTTCAACTTTCTCATCTTGGGAACAGACGTAGTAGTTCTCCATCGCAAAATACGCGGGAGAGCTGTCGGATCAACAACCTTGCAGTAATTCAGGTCCACCATTCTAGGAATTAATTCATATACCCAAATCTACACAATTCACAGGACACAAGTTATTATTTAAGTTTTAAAGTCAACAAAACATAACGACATGAACATTATTACCATGTACCTGGAAAGCATACGTGAAACCTTTAAAACTCCAGCCACCCCTTTGCACTTCACCATGGTTATCCTTCTTGCCCTTCTCATTTCTCCGGCTTGTTCCGGTTACCTTACATTTCCCCTTCCCTCTTCCCTCTTCATTTTCAAAGCTTTTCACATACTTTGTTGGTGCAGAAAACAGACTGGCTTGGGTTTTGTCAAACGACACCGAACCCCATGGAAACCTGTTGAACGCATCCAAGTCCTCTACAAGGGTCAGGTAATTTAGATTGATGTTCAAATGTTTGTCCCTTCCCAAAACCACTAACTCAGCAAAGTAAACAAGAGCTAGCTTGTAGACGTCATCTTCCTCTGTGCACCTCACAAATGCTTCTTCTAAAGCATTACATGTAATTCCTTCGTCTATAAAATATCTTTTCTGAAGTCTAATTTCATCACTTTCTCCACTGGAAACTTCAGGCACTTCCCCAAAACGAAGCCCTGAGATCAAACAGAAATCCTGACGAGTGAACTGAGCAACGTCGCACCCTATTAAGAAACTCAGTCCATCCAAGTCTTTCACACCCTGCCCCGCTACTCTACGCAACACAACCCCATGCACAATCTGCCCGCTAAACTGAATCTTATCTATATTCAGAAGATGGCCAAAGCATGATGTCTTGAATTGTTCTAATTGTTCGGCACTCAACTTCGCTCGAATTACAGCTAGGGATGAATTTGCATGTGAGCAGTTGTTCACCCGTGAGGAATATGCCTCGACTCTGGCCATACCAGCTCAACGTTGGATCCCATTTCCTGAAATACAAGATGAAATAACGTGAACACATATACTACCACGTATTTGCACAATCACATTGGTATTTACACAACTAGTCAACCAGCACATTACAAATTTTACAAAGTACATGCGCATAGGGATTACTGATCACAGGCTTTAACATCATCAAAGCAATATGACATATTTTGTGCAAATACCTGTTAATGCAATGATTCTGTGAATTACAAGCACTAGCATGTGTTTTATTTATGGATCCAAACTCCAATCAATGGTTGATGCATGAGTGAGTGTGAGTGCAATCTAGGCAAGTTCTGCACTTCACACACATGACAATTATTGTCATTTCATACACAACACAAAATAAATAAATAAATAAATGAGAAAGATGGTGGAAGGAAGCAAAGCAAAGCATCTGCTCTGCTATCTGCTCGCTAAGCCATTGCCACATCCTTCTTTCTTTCTAGCTTTTTCTTCAGTCAGCCATAATCGTCATAGATCAACCTTTTTTCAAATGCTTTGCACTTTTATTCATGAGTTTATTATTATCTGTTCTCATTTTTAACAGGCAAATTTAGTAACAACGGAAATAATATTTATTTCAAAAATTATATATATTTTAGCCCCAGAGAGATAATCTGCACTCTGCACTGCTTTAATTGTGGAAGGTTTTGAGGGCCTCCTCCAATTCAACACCATTACCTTATTCATATCATTATTGACATGTTATTGACTTTATATTCATTCGTTTTTTAACATATACCCAAGCAAAAATTAACATGCAAGTGAAGCACAAAGAAGAGATGCCAAATCTAACAACATTCATGGTACAAATTGGGGGAAAACGGTTACTCTAACCCTAAACTCAAATTCCATAAATTACTCACCAAATGCTGGTTATTGAACAATCGCAAGGTGTCTGTGTTGGGTCTTTGTGCGGCTTTGCTCCACAAATGGAACCTATCACTTCCAACGAATACGGCTTCTCTCCTTCCCCTTCCACTGCTTCGTCTTTTCACTGTTTCAGAATCCACGCCTTTGCTCCTTCCACTCAAAATAAATACTTTTTCACGGTTTAGATAGTGGAGTTGCGTTCAACCGTCGTTAACCTTTGCCTTCAACCGTCGTTGCCCGTTGCCTTCAACCGTCGTTGCCCGTTGCCTTCAACCGTTTCTCAGAGCTTAGCGGTTTCTCTCAGCTATGAGTTTGAGATCAATGGGTTTTTTCTGTTCAAACTTCGAACTTGTCTTTTTTTTTTTTTTTTTTTTTTGTTGGGCAACTTCATTGCTGGATATTAAATTCGGGTTTGGGTTCCTCACCTACCCGATTGCACAACTTTATCCCAATTCTCCCCAGCCCTTGGATTGATCCAATGACTATAAAGTGAACCCCTTATAACTTACCCCTCATTATAGTCTGGCCAATATAACACTGCCTGTCAAGGGCGGAACTTTCAAGAGGCTGTACTGTGCTTTAGTTTGGTGCTGAAATTCACTTTAGGCTTAAATGTATAAAGAAATGAAGTACAATTAAATATTAGCGTACTGCCTCATAGCCATACATAGTACTTTTTCTTTTTCCTCATCCAACGGAAAGGTACAAGATCAGACAAACATAACTTACCTAAAAAAATATATATTTTTAAAGAAAAGTAAAACATAAGAACATTAAAATAACACAACTTATACTTTTTTTCCTGCTCCATTATTGTTTGTCGTTGGTCAAACTCAAATACAACATTAATATATTAGAACATCATTAAATCAATGGTACCAAGCTTCAAATCTTCCCAATCTACGTGCAATCTAAGGTATTACCTCACATTTATTTCTCAAATTTCTAATATTTATTCATTGGTTGTTCGTTCGCTAATTAATTGGCTCCAATTTTTAGTTTCTTTGGGGATTTTTTTTTTTTTTTTTTTTTTTTTTTTTTTTTTTTTTTTTTTTTTTTTGGGTTGTTTGTTTATTGTGTTAGTGTTGTTGGAAATGAGGGGTTACTAAAATTTAACTAAAACTAAACTAAGTCTCGTTTGCGTTTAGTTATGCTATTTTTGGGCTTTATTCCCCTACCAACAAAAAATCTAGACAATTTAAATCTGTAGAAGAAATCTAGATTTAAAAAAAAAAGAAAAAAAAAAGTCAGATCCTAAATAAATTCTTGATTCCGCGATTGCCTGTGATGGTCTAAAAGATGACTATCCAAATTACCCAATCAAAAGATAACCTTGAGATGAGATGTCTCATCATGACCTTGTTTTAAAGCATATGAAGACGAGAAGAGATTCGATTCATTGACTATTTAAGTCTATAAAATTATTCTCTCCATGTGAAAAGAATACATACATATATATTTGGGAAAAGAAAAAAAACATATATATATATATTATTTAAGGTAATGGTTTATTTTAACAAGCAGAATTGTACGCATTTTAGTCATCAATACCTGACCATGACCCAACAACGCAAGATTAAGTAAAGATGGCTAGTGACCAATGAGAAATATGGAAAGGTATGAACTTCTAGGTATTTTCCACATTGGATGAAACATTTGAAACTCTTGTCTCATCTCAATATAGGGCGGTCTTTGAGGGCTCTCTTTAAATGGTGACACGTCAAAAGGCAAGTCTTGGAGGGGCTCTCTCTCTCTCTCTCTCTCTAGATGGTGATATGCCAAGGCGACCAATGAGAAATATGAAAAGGTAGTCTTTGAATGTAATTAGAGCCTAAATGTCCTCGCACTAATTAGCTATAGCCAGTCTTCAATCGTTGCAAGTCAAAAGTCAAAATGAATTATACACAATTAGTTTGATGCCATGATGAAAGATTTTGTCTTTAAGTATAGCGAGGATCCTTCCATATCCATACCGTCTCTACGTCATTGTGCGATTCTAGTATAAAAGGCCTTCTTCTTCCAAAACCTGAAGGACTAGACTAGACAAAGCCGGACGCGTGCATGAAATGGAGAACAATACATTGGTTAGCTCTACGATTTCACAAGTGTTAGTATACACAATCTTTTGTCCTTGTATTTTCATAGCTCAAATCTGTAGTCCAGTTGCTTTTTTATTTTTATTATTTTTTAATGCTTTCTTGTTAATATTTGAAACTTGGATGACAAGGGAAACGAGATGGGCAGATAAAAACTTGATTTATATATATATATATATATATATATATAATGCATTGGGTCTTTGTTATATAGAGCATGCATGCACGCGAACCTCTGTTATTTACTTTTTATTAGGATTATATGCCAGTATCAAATGTAATTCCATCTCATTTTACATCATATATTACAGCACAAGTGAGGATGTTGTTCGCAGTTTTACAAAGGCAATACAGCACAAACATATTTTCTTTCTCATCACCATACTAAGCGTGCTCCTCCAACTGAAACATGGAGCTGAAATTGGGTCTCTGTTTGACGCAGAGTATGTCACTGTAGTCGTGTTCATTGTCGTCTTATTCTTATACATAAGTTCGTTGGCGGCTGTTAATATACTCCAAGCTCACATTACTTCAGATTTGGGTGAATTCATGAATAAGATTAGCCTCTTATCTGGAATTCTTGCCTCCATCTTATTATTGCTCATCCTTGTTCCAGCCTTTGGGTGGTTTGCCCTCATCTTGTGGACCGCTTGTCTTGTGACAGTTGTGACCAAATCCTACCAATCTTTGAAAACATTATTGTATACAACTGTTGCAGATGCTAGCAGTGGTTCTTCGTGCCTATGGCAAGTTGAAGGAGCTCATGAATAGCCGCTTGACGGAAGAAGCCGCGGACCAGCAGAATGGGCTATACCCTGATTTCTACCACATTCATGTATATACACTTGCAAAAGTTGGAACAGTGTCAGTATATATTTGCAGTCCTTCATGCCTTTTTATGTATCGCCACTTCATGGAGGAGGAGGAGAATCGGATACCTTAATGTGACCAAAGTGCGTGACGTGAGGATCCTACTTGTACTTGTTACTCAAGTTTCCACTTTTGTACTGTTTGATTGAGACATTGAGTTCTATAACTCGTCATTCATTATAAGAATTTGATATTTTTATTTTTATTATTACTACTTTCGACCTAATTTTTACGGAAGTATTTTTGCTCATCATTTAACCCAAGTTGTACCGTTATCACCATTTAAAAAATTTGACACATGTCCATGAGCATAACCATAGTTTTACTATCACTCATCCTTGTTCCAGATTTTGGGGTGGTTCACTCTCAGTTGCTGGATTATATATTTTGTGATAATTGTAGCTAAGTCCTACCCTTACTTGAAAAAGGTGTGTGCAGCCGACGCACTTGACAAATTCCTGGAGCTGATCATGAGAATGAAGGGCCTCCTCCTCCCCTTATTGACTGATGAGTCCCAGGCCCCAAACCAGAATGGGTCGCCTTAATTCATTCTTCCCACACTACTTGAGCAAAGTTTAGGCATTGCTCCTTCTTGGGCTAAGCCCAAAGTGTGCTCAGATTAATGGTCCTCGTTTTCGTTTTGAATCTATTGTCTAAGTATCAGGTCCTTTAGTTGGAGGAAGGATGAGTATCCAAATTATCCAATCAAAAGATGACCTTGTTTTCTAAAGCATATGAAGACGTAAGGAATCCTGATAAGCCCAATTGAACTACGCAAGATTAAATAAAGATGCCTTGTGAGATGAATAGCAAACAAATAAGAAAAAAGTATTGAGTTTCTAATATGGAATTGTTATGGAAGAATGGAGCCGGAGAAATAAATTTAAGAGTAATACTAGGCTTACCACATTTTTTATACCACAATTGTACCATATCTCTAATAAAGGTGGAGCCCACCAATACAATGGAGTCCGCCTCTATTAAAGAGGTGGTACAATTGTGGTATGAAAAATGTGGTAAGCCTAGCATTTTTGTAAATTTAAAGGGTGAAAATAGTGTTTATTAGTAAGAGGTAGTGATTAAATTGATTTATAAAATATATTTTAAGAATAACAGTGGGTGAACCACGGAAAAAAGTTAAATTCTTTTTAATATTTTATAAGGAGTGAAAATACAATGTGAATGGGAAAATAAAATAAGGGGTAGAAGGATCTCGAGTCTCTGTGCATTTACCTGCATTTAGGAGAATTTTGAATATTCATTTAATTTAATGATATTTGAAAGCCACGCCACCATGATTTTTTTTCTTCTTTGAAAACAGTAAGTTTGGAGCTAACTCATGCATGCCCTCAAATTTTTTAACTAGTCGTTAGTTTCCTCCTTGTGGTCAAAGTTTCATTCTCTCTGATGAACCAAATCGAGTCTCAATCTTCGCTAAAAGGTGCTCAAAGAACATATCGGTTCATAATATCAATATATAAGCTACTTCATGTTTTGACCCAAAAGAAAAAAGCACCAATGTCTAAGTCACGCATTATTGTTAAATTTGACCTTCCATGTCTGTGTTATCGAATTAGAGGAATATTTGAGGACATTATAAAGTCAAGGAACATACATCATAAAGACAAGGTGAAAATACCTGTAGGATGTCTATATATGCCTAGAGAAGGTTAAACAGGCTAATTCGAATTTTTTGCAATAAATAATAATAAACTTATGACGCAGGATTGATATGGCCTATCAATCCTGTAATGTGCAGAGCTTAAATTAAAAGAACACACAGAGAATTATTTTACGTGGTAAAACCCCACCTCTGGGGAAAATCCACGGGACTTCTCAGTCCAACACAAATCCACTATAGAACGATGATTACAAGAAGTACTCACACACTTATCCTAGACACACTCTAGATAATGTTTACCGACTTCTTCGTAACTCAACTTCTGTCACAGGATGATCTTCGACACTCCTTATGTTGAACGCAATACTGGCCACGATTGCTTCAAGCTCACCGGAGAAAAACCGCCACCACGGTCTTGGTGCCCTCAACCGTATAAGTCACCGACATGCATATGAATGCAATATGAATGATTAAAGTGTTTGATAAATCACCAAGTAAACATTGAACACTTGATGATTTATCTCAAATATACGCACAGCAGCTTTTCTTAGAATTCTATATGCTCAAAACAAAAATATCTCAAAAGCTGTAACAAAGAAGGAGATACACGCCTTGGCTTTATACAACTATGTTGTTATCTTCCAAGAGATGATTCAAAAAACTAAGATATCACAAACGTGCCAAATCAGATTTGATTGAAATAGAGTCCTATTCTATTTCGTCATCTTTTGTACTATAAAGGTTGATTTTCAATCAACAATTAATATCCAACAAAACAGTGTATATCAATATGTAAACAACGAAGCCAAATAGGATATTCATTCAAACATACTTTCCAAGTCCAAGATGATGAAAACTTAATAATTTAACTTAAACCAAAATAGAGTCTAACTAGGAAAGTAATCTCAAGAGATAAAATCTAATCCTATTAAAAATAAGATTAACATAAAGATACTTGAGTGAAAATAACTCCAACTAGGAATCCTATAATGAATGCATGATTATGTCATGATTTACCTGAGGTCAAGATTCTCATATGGTCAGGACATGCCTCGGAAGTGTGGGGTTGAAAGAGTAGTGACAAAGCGTTCAATAACAATTCCTCACAAACTAATTTTCACCCTATACTAAAGTCTAGGAAATGCCAATACGAATTTCGTACTAACACAAGGGCTATTAAGGACAAATGATAAATCGTATGCGGACATGGTACAAAACATTTGCCTATCAATTCCTTGCTTGTCGTGCATTATGGATTTATATCCATAGGTATTAATAAGCAAACGACAAATTCATAATTGGGGCTTTCGTTTTAGCTTGGTCGGCCTTTGTTAGTAAACACCTCTGCTTGTAAATTAAAGAAAAAACCAAAAACATGTTTTTGCTTTCGTTTTGTTATAGTGCTTGTGTTTTGTACGTAGGTTTTATGTTAACATGTATTTTGCCATATTATATCAAATCAACGGGATTATTATCGGATCAAATTAAGCCGAATTCAAATTTATTCTATTATTATCGGATCATATTATCCTTCTTGGGTTAAGCCCAAACTCTGCACGCATAGCAGATTAATGGTCCTCGTTTTCTTTTTGAATCACATAATATAGAATAGAAGAGTAAGTTTATTAATGTTGTATAATTATCAGGTTCGTTAGTTGGAGAAAGGATGCTGACTGTATCCAAATGATCCAATCAAAAGATGATATTGTTTTTTCAAAGAGGTTTATTTTAGTGGAAAATAACATTAACTCGCAGATCAGTAGTCTTATGTTTAAACCCCCATGACAGTGTGTGAGAAAATTCCCTCATCGTTCCTAACTTTGATAAAAAGATAATCATGTTCTTTCAAAGCATATGAAAACGAAAGAAAATCCTAATAAGTCCAATCGAAATACTCAAGATTAAATAAAGATGCATTGTGATGAATGGAAAATATAAGAAAATGGTATGCGTTTGTAAGTGGGTGGTACGAGAGAAAGAAAACGTGGAGGAAAATAATCTTGGGAGATGATCTTTGTTTTTGGGGGAGGGGGTTGAAAATAGTTATTCGATGAAATTGATTTATAAAATATATTTTTAAGAATAATAGTGGAGTGGACGGAGGAAAAAAAAAGTACAATTCTTTTTTAAACATTTATAAGGAGTGAAAATATGAGGGAAATGGGAAAATAAAACAAGGGGATGGGAATAGCATGAGATTCAATAGTCTGGTTAGAACACACATATAAGCTGTTGACGTGAGTCTCCTAATTAATTAAGGAGATTTATTTCCTTGATTAATTAAGGGATTTACTTTCCTATTCTACATAGTTGACAAATCATTGTATAATTAGGAGATACTATCCTAATTGATTACTATATCTATTTCCTTGTAAAGCACTCATGTAAACTCCTATATATACCTCATTATAGAAAAGAATAAAATCTAACCCAAAGTATTTAAACCATATTCATATTTTAGCATGGTATCAGAGCAATCGATCCTAGGTTGTCTCTAAACCCTTATCTCAAATTTCTCATATTCAAATCCAAAATCCAAAATCAAATTCCTCATATTTTTCCCCAAATCCAAATCTCTCAAATCTAAAGTCCTCAAATCCTCTTATCCAAATCCCTAAACACATACCTCTCAAATCCAATTCCTACATCAAATTCCTCCAAACACAATTCCTCACATTCTCATATCACATCTTACTTCCGCTGCGATATTAAGAACCCTTACAATTCTCCCTATTATTCCACATTGGATGAAACATTTGAAACTCCTGTCTCGTCTCAATATAGGGCAGTCTTTGAGGGCTCTCTTCGATATATATATATAATGCATCCCCGAATGGGTCTTTGTTATATAGAGCATGCATGCACGCGAACCTCTGTTATTTACTTTTTGTTAGGATTATATGTCAGTATCAAATGTAATTCCATCTCATTTTTACATCATATATTACAGCACAAGTGAGGATGTTGTTCGCAGTTTTACAAAGGCAATACAGCACAAACATATTTTCTTTCTCATCACCATACTAAGCATGCTCCTCCAACTGAAACATGGAGCTGAAATTGGGTCTCTGTTTGACGCAAAGTACGTCACTGTAGTTGCGCTCATTGTCGTCTTATTCTTATACATAAGTTCGTTGGCGGCTGTTAATATACTCCAAGCTCACATTACTTCAGATTTGGGTGAATTCATGAATAAGATTAGCCTCTTATCTGAAATTCTTGCCTCCATCTTATTCAAGGGCGGATTTACACTTGGGTTGGAGTGGGCTCCAGCCCAGTGCTGAACTTTTTATTTTATTTTATTTTTTTATATTTAAATTTTGTGTGTGTGTGTGTAGTTTTAGTGGTTTAAACCAAATATAGCTAAAATAAATAATAGTCTAGCCCTCTATTTAAAATAAGCCCAACTCTCTATGTAGAAATAAGCCCACTCTTGAAGCATATAGGAAATAGTAAACATGATATCCATAACCTATATAAATTTGATTCGAAGCAAACATCAGAAATTTTCTTCTAGCCACCCAAAATGCCATATTTGAACCTTCAGAGCCTAGAATAAATAGCTCTCCCCCTCTAAAAAATTGTACCAACCTATCTTCAATGGGTTCATCAATCTTGGTAAGTTTTTCTCTTTTTTTATTTATTATTTTTTTATTTTTAAAATACTCAATTTCCAATTATAATTGTTGTTGTTAAGTTTTTATGATTTAGGGTTCGGGTGAAAACTTTTGGGGATTGTTATATATGTTTTATTTTTGCAACTTAAATTATTAATTAGTATATATGATTTTTCGTGTCTAGTATTTCTTGTTAGGATATCATGTCACATGATGATACTAGACCAACAAAGAGAGGAAAAACTATTCTTAAAAAAAAAGGGTAACGATAACAAGGATACACATACACCTTCTGCATATAATGTTGATACTTCAATTCCTGAGGAACTTTCTCAACTCGGATCTCAAGTAGTTGAACAATGTGTTTGATTTGGTATTTATTTATATTTTGTACTTCTTTGTGTTATATTTGCTCGTATTGTGACCTTGTTTGATTTATAAAATTTTATTTACATTTTTGTTTCATGAAGAAAAAAAAAGGCTTATAATATATCTCCTGTAAAAACAAATTAAAAAATAGCCCAGTCCTATTAAATTCCTGGGTCCGCCATTGATCTTATTATTGCTTATCCTTGTTCCAGCCTTTGGGTGGTTTGCCCTCATCTTGTGGACCGCTTGTCTTGTGACAGTTGTGACCAAATCCTACCAATCTTTGAAAACATTATTGTATACAACTGTTGCAGATGCAGCAGTGGTTCGTCGTGCCTATGGCAAGTTGAAGGAGCTCATGAATAGCCGCTTGCCAGAAGAAGCCGCAGACCAGAAGCATGGGTTACCCTGATTTCTACCACATTCATGTATATACACTTGCAAAAGTTGGAACAGTGTCAGTATATATTTGCAGTCCTTCATGCCTTTTTATGTATCGCCACTTCATAGAGGAGGAGGAGAATCGAATACCTTAATGTCATCAAAATACATGACGTGAGGATCCTACTTGTACTTGTTACTCAAGTTTCCACTCTTGTACTGTTTGATTGAGACATTGAGTTCTATAACTCGTCACTCATTATAAGAATTTGATATTTTTATTTTAATTATTACTACTTTCGACCTAATTTTAATGGAAGTATTTTTGCTCACCACGTAAACTCAAGTTGTACGTACTGTCATCACCATTTAAAAAATTTGACGCATCTCCATAGCATAACCATTGTTTTACTATTGCTCATCCTTGTTCCAGATTTTGGGTGGTTCACTCTCAGTTGCTGGATTATATATTTTGTGATAATTGTAGCTAAGTCCTACCCTTACTTGAAAAAGGTGTGTGCAGCCGAGGCACTTGACAAATTCCAGGAGCCGATCATGAGATTGAAGGGCCTCCTCCTCCCCTCAATGACTGATGAGTCCCAGGCCCCAAACCAGAATGGGTTGCCTTAATTCATTCTTCCCACACGCTTGAATAATTAACTACTTGAGCTAATATTCCTATGAATTTAATTAAATACCATCTTTTCTGTATAAAAAAATATATATTGCGAGACTCGTCTGTTGATGAAATTAAGGCTAAGGTCTCTCATTTCAAAAGAACTGGTCCCAAAAACGGCATTCAAAACATACTTTACTTTTGATTTTTTCTTTTTAATTAGTACTGAGCTGCTTTGCTTTGTAAGTTCTTCCAGCTTTTGTTATAGTGAAGAGTTTTATTAGTTTATCACTCGTATTGATAAAGTGTTTTATTAGTGTATCAACACCAATAATATGTTGTTTCTTCTATAGATCAAACACTAATGAACAAATTAATAAGTTGCGTTTTAAGATATTTCAATATTCTTTATAAAAACGATATTGTTCTACTTTAATCTAATCTAAACTACGAGAAGGGAGATTTGAACTCAGGTGCAAAATGGAGGAGCACATCCGCTCTAGCCAACTTGGTTAAGCCCATGTCTGAAAGAAAAATATTTCAATTTAAGAGGTCTAATATAATGTTGAAGTAATGAGACATGGTAACCACTATTATTGAAAACATAATTATTAATACTTTTTATGCATAAGATTCATCATAGTCACATAATGTTTAAATTCTTTTATTGTAATTTTTCATTTCCTTAATACTCGGTGCTTCGAAACAACGTATTGCATTGGGAGGAAGGATCATTACTCTTGTTGTCCAAGTTGTGTTGGCTCTCATTGCTGTTGTGGTTCCATTCCATTCATCTGTTGAAAATCAACAATTTTATCCCTACATACAAATGAAGTAAAGCAAGCCATGAGAGAAAAACTAAGACAAAGAGGGAAAAAAACAGCCAAGATTACGCAACTGAAAGTGTTATGAAAATGTAATTTGTAATTTGATTAATGAATTCCACATAGAACAGATTTTATTGACCTTATATGAAAAGGGTTATCAATAGTACCACTTGCATCCACTAGCTCCTACTTGTTTGTATAAGAGGGGAATTCTGAATCCGCCTCAGAAATGGTGACATTGCTTCGGGTCCGGCAGCTAAATCTTGGGTCAAGCTCTTCCAAGTCTCCCTTGTACACCAGACGAGCTGCACACTGCTTCACTATTACTCCATGGCCAACTCTGGCCGTAATTGAAAATGTAATCTGACCAAATATACCTTGCCACCACTCTGTGCCAGAAGGCAATTTAACCTGATCGCTGATACCCTTCCACAACTGAGGAAAGTGACGAGGAAAAAAGAGTACCCAAAGGTGATCAGACACAGCTTGGCCCAACTCTGCATTGAGAAACACAAATGGACGCCTACGTGCCGTCATCTCCTTTCCATTGATGTCCACTTTGCAAGTAATAATATGTGTATAATTGTAATCAAATCTAGGATACTTAAGAGCATGGTCGCAATTAGGTGATCGTTCCTGGATTCCAAAAGCAATGCACACCGCGAATCCCATCCATTTTTCAGTAAACCAACCTGGACATAGCTGCACACTTAATGGATACTCCACACTTTGAGGATTGAACCACTCCTCCTCATTGTATATATATTCAGCAGATTTATGATTGAACCACTCGGGAATTTCATTTCCAGGAACAACAAATTGAAATACATCTTGAGTAATAGGGACTTCCTCCATCATAAAAAAAACAACGTCAAAACACTTAAGAAGCCAACATATTATTTAGTGTGTGAATGAGATAGAGAGCGCGAGAGAGACCCCAACGTATTGTTCCAGTAATGTAAATACCAAACTCCTAAAATTGTGCATCTCAGCAAATTTGAAGCAGTTGATACATTGTGCCCGTAACAGCAACTTGCACCTTTCTGTGGAACCTCTGGCAATTCTTTCTAATGAAATACAGTTATCAACAACTGCTATTACTGTTTGTGGAACCTCTGGCAATTCTTGAAGCCTCTCGCAATACTCCAAGTTAAAAAATTGAAGTCTAGAAAGTAGAGAGATGCCGTTGGGTAGGCTAACAAACTGGTTTCTACTGAGATCTAGGTCGGTTAATGAGGACAAGATAGAGAAGGCAGCAACAACAAAGGCGTGGGAACAAAGGCGTGGGAACACGACTTCTTATTAGAAATCGCTGAAAAAGGGAGAGAAATAGCTGAAAAAGGGAGAGCAAATTCCAAAATTTAGGTGATGGTCCTTTACATCCACGAAAGTTTAATACTGTGAGGCTTTTCAACCGAACAATGGAGGAAGGCAGTTGTCTTATGGCAGTTCCACTCACATCAAGCTCCTCCAAACACTCTGCATTGCCCAACTCATTAGGCAACTTTTCGAGCTTTGAGCAGCCAGAGAGATTAAGAACTTTGACAGATTTTAAGCCATACACACTTCTTGGAAGATGCACAAGACTTTTGCAATCCTTCAAGTTTACATGAGTAATTCTTTCAAGCATTCCAAGGGATGGGTCAACCTTATACAATCGTATACAACCTTCCAGAATCAGATACTCAAGATTTGGACAGCCTCTAAAGTCTGGGGTGTTGACAAGATTCAATGAGTGGCTGAGCTTAATGACTTTCAAATTGTATAAAATCTGTCAAAAGAACACAGAAAAAAAATTGTCTTCAAATTCTATGAAAGGCTGTCAAGTAAGAACATAAAATAAAAAAATAAAAAAAAAAAAAAAAAAAAAAAATCGTTTAAGGGTAATAGAAGATTAAGCAGCAATAACATACCTTAACACCCGTCCAAAAAGATTCAATGTGATTATGGCACATGTTAAGTTCTAGTAGTTTCTCTGGGTTGAAATGTGACGGGAAATATTTTGAAGGATACCCAGCCCATTCAAGACTTCGTAAATTATCAGAGAGATATTCAAGATCATTAGAGAGGTTCACATTAGCGAGATTGAGAAGTCTCAGTTTCTTCATCCTTGAAAAGCATTTAGCATCCCCGTGCACCACTGGCCCAGTTTTGTCCATGGTTATACTTTCTACTGCATCTGTTCCCTATCAAACATGCACGGATAAAGAATAGTGAAACTCATATATAACTAACATATGAAAAGAACTAAACTCATTCGTAAACTAAGAGTCCCCTTACTGTATTTTTGCTCAACACATGCTTGGCCTCTTCATGGCACCACAACCTGCTGCGATTTCCTGGCTCATCAAGACACTCTCGATTGACTATTTCACGACCCATCTCTTGGAGCAATCGATGCATCCATAGAGTGCCATATGAATTAGTTAACAGAGATTTCTCAATGATGACATCTATTCCAATACTTGCACAAAAGCCGCAACTGTACATGTCTAGGATTTCTATAACTCGATCTTTTTTCTCACCGTTAAAGAAACATGCAATGTCTAGGAAAATTTTCTTCTCCTTGTCATCTAGATCATTGTAACTTATTTGAAGTGTCCCCAAAACTGTGTTACAAAGATCCCTTAGTTTACCCAACGCACTGTTCCAAGCAGTTACATGTCTTCCACGCAAAAAACTCCCCAAAACTTTAAGAGCTAGTGGAAGACCATCAGCATAACTCACAACACAGCTAGACAAATCAATATAATTTTTTTCAGGGTAGTCTTTTCCAAAGGCTTTCCAACTAAAAAGCTTAAGAGCGTCATCATGATTTAGACGTTTGACATGAAATCTTCTCTCCACTCCATGTTCAACTAACAAATGCTCATTTCTAGTTGTAATAAGAACCCTACTCCCAGAGCCAAACCACTCTTGCTTTCCAGCCAAATAATCTAAATGGTCTGAGTTCGTCACATCATCGAGAATGAGAAGAACCTTTTTGTGATGAAGTAATCTTCTAAACATTGTAGATCCTTCATGAACATCAAATATGTCAATCGTTTTCATCGATATCCTTGAAAGAATTTCTCTTTGTTGGGATATTAGACCACCTTTTTGAACATTATCACTGACATTCTCAAGAAATATGCTCAATTCAAATTCAGGAGAGATTCTCTCACGAACAACTCTGGCAATAGTTGTTTTACCAATCCCACCCATACCCCATATCCCTATAAAGCGAACATCATCGACCCCTGCACCTAACAATAAATCAATTGAGTTCATACTTGAGTCTAATCCAACTGAGTTCTCCACAGAAGTGAACGATGTAGGACGTAATCTTTTCCATATCACATCGATTATATCTTTGATGAGCAAGGTTTCGTACCTATAACATATTAACATCAATATCAGTCGTATCTCTAGATTTTAAGAAAGGTTGTCAGATCATATATAAAAGAGTTTTTATCACAAATGTTCCCTGATGTGTGTCAAATTATCACCTTTAATCATTTATGTTTTTTTTTTTCTGACATTATCAGTTATTTTTGTTACAAATCACACATCAATTTGGTGATGCCAATAAGTTATGCGAAAATTTCTTTTAAATTGATGACGTGGCATGTATGTAGTGCTCACATATCCAACGAGATAATGCTACATGAAACTAAATAAAAAATATTTTTTAAAATAATAATTTCACATTTAAAATCTAAAAAACATTTTTTTTTAAGTGGCAGAGCCCCTCGTCTCTCTCCCTCCACTCTATGTCCCCTCTCTCCCCTGCTGTGTCTCTCACTCCCCCAAAATCCATCTCAATAAAAAAAAATTCCCACATACCCCCCTCATCCTCTCCTGAAGTAATTTGTAATCCAACAAAACACTCCCATTCCCCATCCTCCTCTGTGTCTCTCTCTCTCTCTCTTCCAGAAACCATTGAAACAATCGCAACCCAAATGAGATTTAAATACAAAAATTAAAACCCATCGAAAAACTGTATCTTTTCTTGGAATTTTTGACACAGCTAGAAGCAGTCCACAGAGGAAAAGAAGAGAGAGAAGGTGGGGTTGGGCATAGGTTGCGGGGGTCGATCGGGTTGTGGGCAAGAAAAAAACCTGAGTTACGCGGAGAGAGAGAGAGAGAGAGAGAGAGAGAGAGAGAAAGGGTAGCAGGGGAGAGTGGGGAGAGAGAGGGGGCGGAGTAGAGATGGCAACGGGTCGGATAGGGGCCGGGTATAACAATACCATTCCCGTCCCTGCTCTCCGTCCCCACCCCCGTCCCCAAACCCATCCCCCTTTAATAGGTTTCGGGAATCCCTGTCCCCGTTCTCGTTAGGGAACTATCCCCCATACCTGCCCCAAACCCCCAATTTTTTTTTTTACATAAAAAATATTTATCATACATTTTAACATTAAGTTTCATATTAAATTATCATTCAACACATCCAAATTAACTATAAAGTTGAACTCAAGTATTCAAAATCACATGAATATGAAATTCCAAAGAAGATTAGGAAGAATTAGGAGGGAGAGGTTAACTTAAGTTAAACATAAATATTATAATTATATATATATTTATTTTATTATAAACATATATTTTCGGGTCAGGTTCGGGGATGGGGATGAAAATATCATCCCTTCCCCATACCCGTCGGAGATTTTTCAAGTCCAGAGATCCCCGTACCCGATATTCGTTTTCCGTTTGGCTCCGAAATCTCCCCTCGTTAGGCTAGGGGACCCGACAGGGACCCACTCCCATGAGGATTTTTGCCATCTCTAGGGCTGAGAGGAAGAGAGCTTCAACTTAAAAAAACCAATTTTAAATATCTTTTAGATTTTTATGTGAAACTATTTTAAAAAAATAATTTTATCTATTTAGATTCACGTGGCATTATCTCATTGGATATGTGGGCCCCATATACATGCCACGTCATCAATTTAATAGTAATTTTGACGGAACCTAACGAAATGGACCAAATTGATATGTGAAGTCAGCAGGTACTGGCTTAATGCTATTTGGACATTTTTTCTTTTTATGCCAAAGTTAAGAAGGGAAAAGGGATAAACTCACACACATGTGTGTACAGTGGTGCCTTGAACCCATAACCATTTGGGATGGCCAATCCAACTAACACCTCATTGTCATCTTATTTGGACACTCTAAATATTTTGACCACATTTAGTTGACCATATTATGTGGTAGCTAATGTTTTTGTGCCATGTCAATTAAAATTAACACATGTGTTAATATCTTTTATTAATTTTAATATTTTAATTATGAAAAATAATTAATAACATTTTTTTTTCTTATAATAATAATTTTATTAAAAAAAAAAGAGGAGTTAATTATGGATATACTTATAGACACGATATCAAGTCTTCCAGAAAGGTGGAGTAACTAATGCATATTTTTTGTTGTCTAAGACATTTTTCATAATTAATATGTATGTGTAATCTTCATGCATTTTCTATTTTTAGTTTTAATAACTAAAGCGAATGAAAAAAAGGCAGAGGTGGAGGTAACTACCACATTGTAAGTCGGTTTTAAATTTTGAATTTTGTTTTAATTTCTTTATTTAACTAGCTTCTACACATGTGCTTCCGCATATGCAAGAGGCTTTTTTAAAAAAATTATTTTATTTTAGAATTAAAAAAGATAATAGGTAGTTGTGTTCTATAAAAATAGAATCCATTATCTGATTTTTCTTTTAATTACTATTTTTTTTAATATTAAAAAGTGTGAATTTACCATGTTATCCTCATTTAATTAATAATTTTAATTCTTAATGTTAGCATTAACCAAGGGTATTTTTTGGTATTGTAAATGTTTTACCATTCTCTACATTTTGCTTTATATATATATATATATATATTATAAGTATTTCACCATTTTACCCTTAGAATGTTTTTTTTTTTCGGGATACCCTTAGAATGTTAAATGGATATAACTTTTAGCAATTTAGTTAATGAAGGGTATTTTTTAGATTTTTGAATGTTTTACTATTATTCTATGTTTCTGCCTTTTATATACTAAGCCCCTTTGCGTATGTTTTTAAATTATTTTATTTTATTTTAGAATTAAAAAAGATAATGGGTAGTTCTGTTCCATAAAAATAGGACTCATTATCTAATTTTGTTCATAATTTTAAATTTTAAAAATAGGATCCACATTATCCTTGTTTTACTAATCCTTTCAATTTTTAATGTTTGAGTTAACGAAAAGCTTTTTTTGATATTTTGAATGTTTCACCATTCTCTGCCTTTTGTTTTATATATAGATATAGATATAGATATAGATAAATCATTATATAAAAACACGGCTAATCTTTTCAAACTTTTTAAGAAACTTTCCTTGGAAAATAATAAAAATAAAATGTATACCAGTCCTTAGCCTTCCACCCAGAGAAATCTGCCACTTTCGCCAACGCATCTCTCCACTCTTGCACCTTCGTTTTGTCATCTGAACTAAATCTTTCTTCTAGTTGTGTAAAGGCTTTCTCAAAACACCCCATTTGTTTTCGTACATGAGATGGATCAACATGATAGAAAATTGGTAGAACTGCTTCTCTTGCTTCCATGAATTTAAGAATGTGTAGAAGTTCATCCAAGCACCATGTTGAGGATGCATAATTTTGTGAGAGAACAATAAGCGCAAACCTTGATCCTTCAATCGCAGCAGTCAGTTCTTGAGAAATAGCTTTTCCCTTCGAAATTTTAGGCTCATCCCTGAAAGTTATGATTCCTTGAGCTCTCTATGTTTCATATAAGTGGTCTGTAAAGCCCTTCCAAGTGTCATCACCTCTAAAACTGAGAAAGACATCATATTTCCATTGAGGTGTTGTAGATGGAGAAAATGTAGATGTTCTTAATGTGTACATGTCGCCACTGGAACGAACTTAATTACTTAGCTGTGGCAATTTCCTGAAGATTGTGATCAAATCCACTGCAAGTAATCCCAAAAGTTTTGATCATTTAAGAAGTCCCTTTTTCGACTACAGAAAATAATAGAAATGTTAAAATTAATGCAAACTGACCTAGCAAAGTCAGTGAATCCAAAATATCATGATATCGAAGTATGCTTTAGTATCAAATAATCAAATTGCTGTAATATAATAAACTGACCGACTAAGGTAAGTCGGTTAGAACTCTCCTATATATAGGCAAAGGTGACGTTGAGCAGGAGCAAAGTGAGCAATAGATCAAAAGTCTCACTTTCATGAGGGGCCCACAATTAATATTAATACAAATTTAGTTAAATACTCAATCTTCGACATAGTCTTATAAAGAAACATTTATTTAAAAACTATAAACACACCAAAAAAAAAACTCAAAAATCGACAGCTGCACATTTTTTAATTTAATTAATAAGATGAAATACTTTTATTACCCTTTTAACATAAAATTGGAATTCTAATCCATTTATTTGGAGTTGAAGCCATAGCGTAGGTCATTTCACGAGCTCCAGTCTCTTATCTTCATCTTCAACCCTGATTTTTAGTTTTTGTTCTTCCATTTCTTGTTTTGAAATCATCTATCTCTTTGGACTTTTTGGATGGTGCAGATGTCTATGTCAGAGCCAACAATAGAGAGGAGACATAGACATCTCCATTGTCAAGTTGGTGTCGTTGTGCAAATGTCTATGTCTCCTCTCCATTTTCGTCGTTTGGTTTGGACTTAAGGTTTTTGATCTTTTGCTTCAATTATGTGTTTCTCTTTGGATTTTAGTTTATTTAATGAATGTATTTTAAGCTTTGATGATCTATTTATCTTTTGTTACTATTTAAGTTATGGACCTCATTTTTGTTTAATAATGTATTCCTATGATAGAGTATTAACAAGACAGTTCTATGATAGTGTATTAACAATGTACTTCTATGACAAATTTATTAACAATGTAGTTCTATGAAGAGCCCCTACTTGGTTTTTGTGAATTTGTTTTTAATAAATTGTTTGGGTTTTTTAAAAAACCTAGGCTGGGTTTTTTGGTTTTTGTTTGTTTTTTTTTTTTTTTTTGTGTTGGGTTTTTTTTTTTGTTTATTTATTCAGTGGTAATCATATAATTTATAGAAACTTCAACAACCATTTCTTATGTAATAAATGGATTTTGGGTGTGTTTTTAAAGCATTTTCTATATAGGATTTGTTTTTTAAATAATTTCAGCCCCTATTTTGATTATAGAGTTTTACCTTTTTCATAATTTTTGGTTGAAAACTTTATTTTAGGAGGCCCTCTTGTTGTTTTGGCACAACGCCCCTAAAATTTCAAAGTTGCCGTTGTATATAGGCTTGTTGGCTTGATAAATATGTAAGATGAAAACTACCAGTTCTCTTATATCCCATCTTCCTCTTATGAACTTCTAGCTGTGTTATTACCCTTCAGGGTGGCTTCTCTGCCACCTCTCATGTGGCCTCTTCGCCACCCTCTGGAGTGGCTTTTTTACATTCCTTTTTTGTCGTTTATTTTGGGGTGCTTTTTCTATTTTGTTTGTCTTGTTGTTGGCCCAGATCTCCTCAATCTCTTCTCTCCCACTACTCTATGGCCATTTCACCTATCTCTCCCTCTTCTCCTTTCATCCACCCACACCCTTTAGCCCATTTCTCTTTCTTTCCCACGAACTCTTTAACCCTAAACCCCTTTCCTTTTCCTAGGATTTGCTTGGAAAGAGAAACACAAACACATATTTTCTTTATTGTGAGGGGACCACAAGTAAAATTATTATATATACTTCCTAAAATCTATAGGAATAAAGGACCAAACGTCAAATATTGTCAAACTTTTGAGAGGGCCCAGGCCCCTTCAGGCCTTCAAATACCTCCGCCACTGGGGATGATAATCAAGAATGTTTATAAAACAAAACCCTAACAATCTAAGCATAGTAGGATAGATGAAAAATGGCTCCCTTGACATGCATGTATGTAAAAATTGAAAATTTTGTGGTGCCTCAGCTGTACTGGTACAACCGGCTATCCAATGGCTGAGTTTCCATGTTAAAAAAGGAAGGCTGAGATTCAATGACTTAGTAACCTATTGAGCCCCAGTTATTAAACACATGAGTGGCATGTGAGGAAAGAGAAAGGTAGGTTTGGAGGATGAAGAAGACGCACAGAGAAAGGCAGGTTCGGGGGATGAAGAAGATGCGCGCTCTCCTCTCTAGTTGCCCAAATCGAAAATCCTAAGAGCCCATCCAATCCTTAGTGCCTCCAGGAACTCTTCTCTTTGCTTGCCCAACTCCAATCCTTAGCGCCTCCAAGAACTCTTCTCTCTGCTTTCCCACTGTCTCTGCTTGCCAACGAACTCTTGGCTCTGCTCCGACGAAGTATTGGCTTTGCTTCGCTTGGAAATCTTCTCTCTCACTTGCCAAAATCCATCCTAAGCACGTCCAACTCTTGTCTGTGCTTGGGCAAAACGCATTTGCAACAAGGTAATGCTCACTGATGAGGTCCTCAACTCTTCTCTCTGCTTGCCCAAAACTCATATGCAGATACCAAATTGATGGTGGGTCCAACCTCCATGATGAACTGGTCACCAAATTGGAAGTATTTAATAAATTTAGTTTCTTCTGTTGGCATTGTCTGATATAGAATTTCAATTTCGCAAGGGAATGGATTTGTAATAACAACGTGGTTGTAAAGATTTTGAAGATCCTTGGCTGTTAAGTACGACATTTGAGTTGGTGGCAAAAGGAAGTGTAAGGAGGAGGCTTTGAAAGTATGGAAACATCAAGTAAGATTTCAAAGAACCCTCTTTTCTAGTTTAGGACTTGAAAGTATTTTGGGTAATGAGTTGATGCAATTGCATGTTTTTAGTTGCGAAACAATTATACATGGTGCAATTATTGACCTGAGTATGTGCAATTGCATGAGTATAATGTAATTTCAGTTTGAAATTATGTTTCTCAGGCATGGAGGGGTCTGGTAAAATGGACAGAGGTGTAGAGACATTAGAGGGTGGTTGTAGTGATTCAGGGTATCTAGGTGGTTGTGAAAGGTCGAGTCACAGAGCACCGGCAACAAAGAGTGGGCATATGTCGATCGAACATATGGTTAGTCAAAGTAGTGATGATAATGGTGGTGACATGATTGCACCGAGGAAAGAAGATGTTATGGGAAAAGAGTTTTAAAACGATAGAATTAGCGGAAGAATATTGTATGAGTTATGCAAAGGGCATTGGATTTAGCGGGAGAAAAGACAAATTGGTTCGAAATTCGGAAGAGAGAGTATGTAGGAGACGGTGGTCTTGTTCTAAAGAAGGTTTGAGAAATGAGAAGTTTAATGATCGATCAGATATGATTCGACCATCGAAGCCAATTACAAGAGAGAATTGTTCTACCCATTTTTGGGTGGGTTATGAGAAATACGTGATGTTTACGTCGTTACGAATTTTGAACCACATCACAATCATCAACTAGTTACTCCACTTGAATCGCCATATCTCCGATGTAACCGTGTCGTTCGAAATTCCGATTTAGCACAAGCAATGGGAATGCGAAGAGCATTGTTTAGAACATGTCAAACATATGAGTATATGGTCGACCAATGTGGCGGGTATTTAAATGTTGGTTTTCAAATAAAGGATCTGTACAATAAGTTGGATGCATCATGCAAGGAAATTTTGCTTGACGGTGACACATAAGCTGCACTCTCTTACTTGAAAGCGCAAGGAGCAATGGATCCAGAATTCTTTTGTAAGTTCAGTGTTGACGAGGAAAATAGGCTTGGTAATTTGTTTTGGAGGGACTCCACTTCACTTTTGGATTATATTGCCTATGGCGGCGTCCTCATATTCGACAGCACATAGAAAACAAATGTTTATGACAAGCCCCTAGTGTTGTTTGTCGGTTCGAACAACCACCATTCTACTGTAATGTTTGGTAGCGCATTGTTGCAGGACGAGACATTTGAAACATACAAGTGGTTATTGGAAACATTCATGGCATCCATGAAAGATAAGAAGCCAATATCAATATTGACGGATGGCGATGAGGCGATGCGTAAAGCCATTGATGATGTGTTTCCCATGTCTAACCATCGGTTGTGCTCATAGCATGTGTCAAGAAATGCACAGAATAACTTGAAGGATGATGAATTGCTAAGAAATTTTCAGGCATGTATTTGGGAACCATTTGCATTGGACGAGTTTGAGAAAAAAAATGGAAGGTTTTGAGGGAAAAAGCGAGTACTCCGAAACAAAAAGAATGGTTGGAAATGATGTATGCAAAAAGAGACTCATGGGCTGAATCATGTATGAGAGGAAAGTTTTTCGGTGGTATGTGCACCACTCAACGTGTGGAGTCCATGAACAAGTATGTGAAAGATTACTTGAGGAAAGGGGTGAGTTGTTTGAATGTATTCCAGCAATTGATAGGGCTATGTTACGTCTTAGAAATACCACGGTGAAGGATGGTTTCAACGCAAAGTACTCAACACCAGTCCTTAAAACCGCATTGACAAAACTCGAGCAACAAGCTTCTCTGATTTACACGCATAGGTGCTTTGTATTGGTACGTCATGAGATCGAATCTTGTTCAACACTCACCCATGATAATGTGATGCATAATTTTGGAGGTCTTGTATACGTATTGTCAAAATATGGTGAACCGCATAATAATTGGACTTGTGTTTACCACGGTGGGGAAAATATGCTGATAGAGTGTGGATGCTGGAAATATGAAAGTGAAGGGATCCCATGTTGCCACCTGTTTTATGTAATGAAGTGCGAGCACCTTACGGAAATTCCTCCAGCACTCATAATGAAGAGATGGACAAAGAGTGCCCAAACTGATACATGTAGGGGATTTATCGGCAAAGGCGAAGACACTACCAACTAAGTTGTAGAAATGCTGAGGTATGGAAGTTTAAGTGCTATGTCAAACAAAGTATGTTTTTATGCATCGAAGAGTGCAGATGGTTATGCCATGTTGATGAATGAGTTTAGTAGATGGGAGGGAATTTGTGAAGGCTTACGGCAAAAGGAAGAAGAGACAAGTTTGAAATTTGGTAGTGCTGAGCAATGTCCTCCTAATATTGTGAAAGATCCAAATATCGTTAAGATAAAATGCACTCAAGCAAGGCAGGGTGTAACGCGCAAGCGTCGACAATGTCATTTGTGTCGTGGATATGGACATACAAAGCGTAATTACTCTCAAAGAAACTTGCATCCAAGTAGAAATGCATGTGTGAATATCCCCGGACATTAGCTACAGTTATCCTAGTTATGATAAAGGGCCGTCCCCGGACATTAGCTACAGTTATCCTAGTCAAAAGGTTTCTGAATGTAGAGGCAACTATGTGGTTGATTTGTCAGGTTCTGATAGTTTTTCTACTGCAGACCCAACCGGTTCTACCCCCAACAGTGACGATGGTTTCTCATTCGACAATGGTGAACCTAATTCCCTATGTACTGGTTCAACCCAAAACAATTGTAGTTTTGGAACTTGGTTTACATGTAACAATTAACATTAAATGTAGATTTGGTGATGGACAAGATGCTTTCATATGACTGACCTATTATTGTTTTATGTATGTATTGTTCATAACAAAAGTATTTTCTTGGTTATCTTTGTCTTTGCGCTAGACATTAATTAGGTTTGCGTTTTTAAGGTATATTTAGTTTGCCCACAGCCGGTTGGCATTTGCATTGCACACGTGCAATTCCATGACGGTGATGCAATGCAAGACTGACTGTGCGCAAACCCATAATAAGGAAAAATGGATCATATTTTTTTGTACAGGCATAATTTGACCTATTTTTTGAACTATAAATCGAAGGGCAAAATGAATCGAAATACAGAGCATGTAAATAAATGGTAAGGGGCAATAAGCCGAACGTATTATATTACAAAACGACCAATTATCGAAATTACGTACTAATAGACATTGCCATTTAGCACAAATGACTTCCCAAAAGATCCCGAATTTTGTAAAACACAATGTGATTAACCCTAATTTCAATAATAGACATAGGGTTGTAACAACGTATTTGCTTGGTTTTCGTTGTCTTTGCACTATACATTAAATAAGTTTGTGTTTTAAAGCTATGTTTAGTTTGCACACAGTCGGTCTGCATTTGCATTTCACACATGCAATTGCATGACAGTGATGCAATGCAAGATTGACTGTGCGCAAACCCATAATAAGCAAAAATGGATCATATTTTTTTGTACAGGCATAATTAGACCTATTTTTTTAACTATAAATCGAAGGGCGAAATCAACTGAAATACAGAGCATGTAAATAAATGGTAAGGGGCAATAAGTCGAACATATTCTATTACAAATTGACCAATTATCGAAATTACGTACTAATACACATTGCCATGTAGCACAAATGAGTTTCCAAAAGATCCCGAATTTTGTAAAACACAATGTGATTAACCCTAATTTCAATAATAGACATAGGGTCGTAATAAAGTAGTTGCTTGGTTTTCGTTGTCTTTGTGCTATACATTAAATAAGTTTGCGTTTTTAAGCTATGTTTAGTTTGCACACAGCCGATCTGCATTTGCATTTCACACATGCAATTGCATGACAGTGATGCAATGCAAGACTGACTGTGCGCAAACCCATAATAACCAAAAATGGATCATATTTTTTTGTACAGGCATAATTAGACCAATTTTTTTATAACTATAAATCGAAGGGCGAAATCAACTGAAATACAGAGCATGTAAATAAATGGTAAGGGGCAATAAGCCGAACATATTCTATTACAAATCGACCAATTATCGAAATTACGTCCTAATACACATTGCCATGTAGCACAAATGACTTTCCAAAATATCCCCAATTTCGTAAACCAAAATGTGATTAACCCTAATATTGAATAATACACATAGGGTCCTAATAAAATTTGGAACTTCCTTTTCTTTGTCTTTGCACTATCCATTAATTAGGTTAGCGTTTTGAAGCTAGCTTTAGTTTGCACACAGCCGGTCAGCATTTGCATTGTAAACATGCAATTGCACGACGTTGATGCAATGCGAGAGTGACTGTGCGCAAACCCCTACAAAGGAAAAATGGATCAATTTTTTTTTACTGGCATAATTAGACCTATTTTTTGTACTATCAATTGAAGGCCGCAAAATGAACTGAAATATACTACATGAGAAACGATAAGGGCTAATAAACTGAACATATTATTTTACAAAACGAAGATACTATGATCCGAAAAATGTCATTGTATCCATAATTTACTTGGTTTTCTTTCTCTTTGGGGTATGTGAACGAAGACTTTTCACACCTTTGCGTTTTTGGTATGTGGAGGGTTGTTCTGCATCTGGATTACCGTTAACTGCAGCCCCGTCCTCATCGGCATCCTCATCCTCATCCTCATCCTCATCCCTGTCTTCGATCCAAACTTCCTCTTCATCTCCCTCTTCATCTTCATCTTCCTCTTCGTCTTCCTCTTCTTCTTCCTCTTCTTCCTCTTCTTCTTCCTCTTCCTCATCTTCTTCATGCTCTTCTTGTATCACAAGTTTGGTCTTTCCTTTTCTATCTATGTCATGTTTAAATTTTGTGCGAAACTCCTACATAAAGGGAAACATTGACATATATAAATAATCAATTTTGTTCAGTTTTGTTGTGCACACGAATGATGATGGTTTGCATTGCAGAATGTAACATATTATTTAAAATTGCAAAATTGAACATCTTATAAATCGAACTTTACAATGGAGGTTGGAAGTAACAAACTTACATGTTCTGCATCATCATCTAAGATGTGTTGAACAAGACCCGAACTTGCAATGGTTGTTCCCGAGGTGTTCTTCAATATCTCCTATTACAATATAACATCGTTCATGTTCAATACCATGGTTTGTTATTTCAATATAACATCCGTGATGTTTGTTAATTTTATGAAATCAGTATGAAATGAAGTTGAACTGACTCACATTCTCTTGCCGTAGGTGCCTAATCTCTATGCTTGCTTGCAATGCAGTTGAAAATAGTACAGCATTCAACCCAGCAATTAGGTCCAAAAGCTCAGTTGCAGCTTCAGCAGTTACCTACATTAAGGCACATGAAATTACAACAATGACCACCGGAAGCCCTCATGTATTAATAAATTATGCAATAGAAGTTACTTACATGCGTGACACCATCAGGTAATGGTAGATCAGGGCTATCTTGCCCACGGGGTATCCGCACAAGTTTACTTTCATTTTCGGCGGCCCAGCATGGTATTCGCGCTGACCATAGCTGAGGAGAGATGTTTGCTACCCTTATCTTGGCCCCTTCTGGAGTTCGATGTTGTTCTTCCTTTGGAATTCAGGTATCATTTTAGAATTTTGAAAAATTATATGAATTTCATGCAGCAAGTGTAATTACATAACACGCGTTCAGTGTAGAACGTACCGCTTCACGTAAGTCCGCATAGTGGCGATACCGTATGTACTCATCCCTTGGTTTGAAGACACGTACCCTGAACACCCCAGTAGCCATAGGACCCGATATTCGTTTTGCTGGCTTCCGTTTTTTCGAGCTTGAGGAAGCCACTGAAGAGTTACCTTTCGTACCCTTTGCAAGTGTGGTCTTCGGGGCCCGGGAACCTTTATGAGATGCTCCTCCCTCAATGCACTTGTTCTTCGTCCTCATTGTTCCTTCGACTATCCTTCATTATTGATTTAAAACAACAAACAATGAAACAGATTATCTCTACCTCAACATCAAACAATACAGTAACATGACATAATCTTAACATACATTCAAAAACATTTCACAAGCTTCCGTACTCATTGCATTTCTTTCTCTATGTTGTTTACAAACAAAAATTCATTCATTCCCAGCCCATTAGGCATTGCCTCACATGCGAATTTTTAACTGAAGGCTTCATTTCAATTAGGAATCTCTTATGCAGTTAAGAACGGATAATTTGTGGATTCACTTCAATAAAGCAGTTCTTTTGTTTATATCAGAAACTAAACTATACATTAGGTCGTCACTGGTTGTATTGAATAATACAACAAATAGGGAGTAGATTGCAGTAGAAGGATGCATACAAAATAACAGAAAAACACACAAACACACACATTGCTCCAACAAAACCCACAAGCATCCATACCATACCAAACAATATCAACAAGTAATACACTACATGAAAATCCACAAAGTGAAAATCAATATGCAGTCTCCACATTGTACTTTTGATGACAGTCTCCCTTCATAATTTATAAAATAGTAGATTTGCCAACATTAAGAAAGCAAGGCCAACCATTCGGAGCTATTGCTATTGCTCTAAATTATCACCTATCTCCTATAAAATCATGTTTTTAGTGTAAAACGCAATGGAACTAACAAACTGAATTATGCAGAACATCAAAACACAAGTAAGATAGAAAAGGATCAAAGCACACCTTTAATAGGACTGCATCCAGTATTGGTCTTCCTACCCAAAGACTTTGATAACTAAAGACTCATTTGCAAGAGAAATTTTCATAACTAATAGATAATGGCAAAGTTATATATCCACAACAAATTTTAGGTTCCATCAAGCTTTCAACACATCAAAATGAACACAAACATAACATAAGTCATAACTTCTTTTTTCCCCATAAATCCATGAACACTTTTCTTATCTTATTTTTAAGATCTAAAAACAACATAATAACAGGCATACAGTATTATGAATTTATGAGTTTTGGGTTGAGTAAATAATCCAGCAAAAAAAGCAAACAGAGATTGAAATTTTCAGAGAATAAATCGCTCAATAAAAGTAAATGAAAATGCAAACAGAGATTGGAAATAACAATATTGAAGATTAAGCATTTACAGAAGAGTGAGAAATTCACCTTTGGTAGAGAGAGAGTCTTCAATGGCAAAGTGACGAGAAGGAGTGCGCGGCTGCGTCAAGGGGAGAAAAAAAGAGTGCGTCTGCTGGAAGTTGCAACCTACTCTAGAGAATATGGATAATGATCTGCACGAACTGCTGATGGAGGCCAGAGATGGTTAGATAGAGAATCGAAGGGGGAAAAAAACAAAAAGAAAAGAAGAAAAAAGAAAGCCAGAATCGAACCTGCTTGCTTGACAACGGCGCGACGACTGAGAGAGCTTTGGTGGCGTGACGGCTGAAGAAGAACAAGGATGAGGTTTCAGTTTCACGTAGAGAGAGAGAGAGAGGAAATCAAATCGAAGAAGGAAAAGAAACCTAAGTCTGTTTTAGTTGTGATGATCCTGTGTGTGTGTGCGTACGGTAAAATTTTAGATACCCAATACAATAGCCACATGTTAACTATATATATAATATATAAAATATAAATATATAAAATATTAAAATATATATTAATTCATTATATTGGACCCTTTCGGATTGGACCGGTTCCTTGTAGTAGAAAACTGGAATCGAAACCGGTTTGGTTCGGATTTGACTCGATTTTTGACTTTTTTTAGTCAACACGGTTTTTTTTCGAATTTTTTCAGTTTGGTTTGGTTCGGTTTTGCGGTTTTGTAGTTCTAATGCCCACCCCTAGAATTGAAGGGTTTGGGCTTTACAAATCGTATGAATTGAGTTTGGGCTTTAAGGTTCAAATTCAAGTGTTTAGGGTTTATGGTTCGTTGTTGTTTAGGCTTAACGGTTAACATTGAATTAGTTGGGCTTTAGGGGTGAAATTGAATTGGGTTTGGGCTTTTGGGTTGAAATTGAATTGGGTTTGGGCTTTAAGGTTAAAATTGAATTGGGTTTGGGCTTTACGATTAAAATTGAATTGGGTTTGGGCTTTCGGGTTGAAATTGAAATGGGTTTGGGCTTTAGGGTTAAAATTGAGTTGGGTTTGGGCTTTAGGGTTAAAACTGAATTGGGTTGGGCTTTAGGGTTACAATTATATTGGGTTGAGGTGAATAGTTACAATTGAATTGGGTTGGGTTTTAGGGATCGTATGAAATGGGTTTCAGCTTTGTGGTTAAAACTCAAGGGTTTAGGGTTTGTGGTTGACGATTTACGGTTCAAATTGAAGGGTTTGGGCTTTACAAATCGTATGAATTGGTTTTGGGCTATATGATTCAAATTCAAGTGTTTAGGGTTTAGGGTTTGTGGTTTATGCTTAAAAGTTAAAATGGAAATGGGTTGGGCATTACGGTTAAAATTGAATTGGGTTTGTGCTTTAAGGATTGTATCAATTGGGGTTGGGCTTTATGATTAAAATTCAAGGGTTTAGGATTTACGGTTAAAATTTAGGGTTGGGCTCTATGGTTAACACTAAATTGGGTTTGGGCTTTAGGGTTCAAAGTATGGTTCATGTTTAAAATCGTATTGGATTCAGGTTATACACTAGCCCCAAGCTTGGGTTTTAATATTTTTAACTGATTCAAGTAGTATGTGATTGTCATATATAATTTTTAAAAGTAGCTATACCCAGAAAATGTTCACGTAAGGGTTACCCGGAAAAATTAACCCAACCAACAAATGTTTTCAAACAAACCACGTTTTTGTTCAAACAAACGAAACGATTGCATTTAGGGGTGGGCATCGGGATTGGAAAACTAGAACACCGAATCGAACTGGTGAAAAAAACCGGAAAAAAAAACGGTTGACTAAAAAAGTCAACAAACCGGACCAGAACCGGACCAAACTGGTTCCAACCGGTTCCGGTTTCGGTTCCAGTTTTACACCACACTGCACCGCACCGAACCGGACCGGTCATATATATTTTTTATTTTTACAAAATTTTAAAATCTAAAGCCATATTTTAAATTTGATAATCACTATTTTTCCAAGTTCAACTTCAAAAAATTTCTAAATGTATGAATTGGATTATTTGTTAATTTTTAAGCCAAAAAAAATAAGTTTTTTAAAATATTAAAATAATAATAAAATAATAATCCGGTTCAAAACTGAAACCGAACCAAAACCGGTCAGAACCGAACTGGTTAAATAGTACCGAGTCCGGTTCTGGTTTGAAGTGAGAACCGGACTGAACTAGACCTCGCCCACCCCTAATTGCGTTCGTTGAGAAAAGTTAGCCGTTCGCCCAAAAAATGTCCCCAACCAACTTACTTTTTCAAACAAACGGAGTGTGGCTTATACCGAACGCAAGGGTTGCGTTCATTCAGTAAAGTTAAACGTTCCCCCAAAATTGGGCCCAACCAACTTACTTTTTCAAACAAACGGAGTGTTTGTTCTAGAGAACGCAACTATTGCGTTGGTTAAGTAAAGTTACCCGTTCCCCCAAAAATGGGCCCAACCAAGTTACTTTTTCAAACGAACGGAGTGCTTGTTCTAACGAACACAAGAGTTGCGTTCGTTTAGTAAAGTTACCCATTCCCCGAAAAACAGGCCCAACCAACATAGTAATTTAAACAAACGGGGTATTTCTTCGCACGAACGGAATACGTGCGTTTGTAGAGAAAAGTTACCCATTCGCTCAAAAAAGGCCCCAACAACCTTACTTTTTCAAACAAACGAGTTACTTTTTCAAAAGAACGCAAGAGGTACGTTAGTTGAGGAAAGTTTTCTGTTCGCGGAAAAAATATATCCAACCAACTTACTTTTTCAAACAAACGGAGTGATTGTTCTAGTAAACGCAGGTGTGCGTTCGTTCAGTAAAGTTACCCATTCCCCCAAAAATGGGCCCAACAAACTTACTTTTTCAAACAAACAGAGTGTTTGTTCTAGCGAACGCAAGGTTCGCGTTCGTTCAGTAAAGATACCCGTTCCCCGAAAAATAGACCAAACCAAGTTACTTTTTCAAACAAACGGGAAGTTGTTTAAACAAACGCAAGGGTTTGCTTTCACTCAGAACAATTAGACGTTCCGACGGAAAAGATGGCCAACAATGTTACTTTTTCAAACCAACAGGTTTTTTGTTCACACAAACGTAATACGTGCGTTCGTGGAGAAAAGTTACCCTTTTGCCCAAAAAATGGCCCAACCACCTTACTTTTTCAAACAAACGGTAAACTTTTTCAAACAAACGCAATATGTGCGGTAGTTGGGGAAAGTTTCCTGTTCGCGGAAAAAATATATCCAACCAACTTACTTTTTCAAACAAACGGAGTGTTTGTTCTAGTGAACACAGGTGTTGCGTTCGTTCTGTAAAGTTACCCGTTCCCCCAAAATTGGGCCCAACCAACTTACTTTTTCAAACAAACGGAGTGTTTGTTCTAGCGAATGCAAGGATCGTGTTCGTTCAGTAAAGATACCTGTTCCCTCGAATAATAAGTAGAACAAACTAACTTTTTCAAACGAACGTGATTTTTGTTCATACTAACGCAAGGGGTTCGTTCATGGAGGAAAGTGACCTATTTGTTAGAAAGATGGGCCCAACCAACTTACTTTTTCAAACAAACGGGGTATGTGTTCAACCGAACGCAAGGGGGTGCGTTCGTTTAGAAAAATTCGACGTTCCCACGAAAAAGGGACCCGAGTCCTAACTACCAAGTCCCAGGTACCAACTACAGACGAAGTATTATTTAAGGAGTTACTTCCTATACATTTCAACTCAAGACTTCCAACTGTTTTACTAATAACATTACTCATACACAATCTGAGAGAGAAAAAAGAAAACCCAAACAATGTCACATTCAATGGTTGGTAGCTCAAGAGGCTCCTCCACGCCTAAGAAGAATAGGGTGGGTGATGATGATGATGTTGATTCTTCGAATTATGTCCGGCAGCAAGTGAAACGAACCCATGATGTCACCGAGGCTAGTAACAACGTCTGTCATGCAGGAGATTCAATCACCAAGTACCACATTTACCATGGAGGGATTGAGATCGGCTTTGAGATGTTTAGGAAATATGCTCAACATGCTGATGCTGGTTCAAGTAAGTGGGACAAAATCCAGGTATTCGAAGCAATTGCTATTTTGGAGAAGCGAGGTCCATGAAGCACCGGTATTTTATCATTTGCATTGTGTTGTTTGTCATAATTTCGGATGTAATTTCAGATGTTATAATTTCAACCGTAATATCGGATGTTAAATGTTATAATCAGTATGGTAGAATAGTTTGGGGGTTTAGTTTTGTAACAAAAAAAACCCCTAAATATGGTTAGGAGACCTTTATTATCAATGAACTAGGAACTCATGTTTCGTAAATGAAGTATGGGCCCCAAATATGCTATAATGTTCCCATTGCGGCAACAAAAAAACTCATGTGTGCAATGTATTACACAAAGTAGATAACGTGCAATTGGAGGTCATGTAATGCAATTGTACATGATATAATGCAAAAATGACGTCCCTGCATGCAAAAAAAGAAACGTACATGCAATTGCACTTGCTATATTACAACGAACCTCAACTGTACGCAAATAGGGATATATACATGCAATTACACCTAATTTCTAAACTGTAATCCCTTATGACCTACTGTCAAACTTTCTACTTTGCCTGGGAGCGTATCATTTTCTTCCTTGCGATGGGATGATGAGGGATGAAGGGACAAAGTTCGGCGAACTTGTCAAGTTCTTCGTCAACAACTCTTCGAGCGAACTCCCTTACTTCCTTTAGACGCGTGTTTTTTGGGTTCTTCAGCAATGATAGTGCAATGCGAACCTGCTCACTTGCATGTTGAAACTACAAATAAAAAACATCTCGTCAAAGAAATGTTTAACAAAAAAGATCTGACATGGAAGACAAACGTATGAAACGATGTATATGCCGACTCACTTTATTTGAACCGTGTGATTTGCATTCAATGTCTTCTAGCCAATTCATAACGAAGATACCACAATCGCATCCATTTAGTTGTCTGCGAGCCTTGTCACTTCGCACAATGTTGAATTTTGCAAACTGCCATCCCTTTGAAAATATTTGACAATCTCATCATTGTAAATGTAGTCCAGAGCTTTCATCTACAACACAATCAATTCAAATCAATTCTTAGTCGGGATGTTAGGACAATAAAAATACCAACCAAAATTAGGTAAATTAAACTTACAATTTTTTCCACCAATTGATAACGACCTGCGTTGTATTGAGAACCAAGGAGGCTATCCCATATTTCAACCTTTTTATCACCAATAAGCACCACTAGCAAATACCAATGATTCCTGATTCGATCCAATACGGGAATGAAAATTTATGACCACAATGACTTGCTTAGAAAAACATGCGTAAAAAAAGCGCACTAAAGATATTGTAAAAAATAACTTAAATTGATACCTTCTTGCACTTCTTAAGGCCTACGGTGAACCGGTTTGAGTTTTCCCTTCTAAGTTTGGCACCCAATTCAAAAAGTTTACCATCACTTGTATTATTAACTTGCTCCTACATTCACATATAGTGTAAGCGTAAATTCATTTACTAAATCACAAATTATAACAGTTTGAAACATATGAATGCTTACCGACATATACGTGTGGAATTACCAATTCCCTGACCCCTTTTCTTGTAGATAATACACTTGCGTGTTCATACTCTATCAGAAATCCACATTTCGGGCCTCAAGCACATGAACTCATCTCTTGTGACATGATGTTCGTTTCCAATTTGAATTATAACTTCCTTACTACAACGAATGAAGAAAGCAATTGTTATAATTAAAGTCACGTATGCGACAACATATAAGGAATTTGGTCGATTTCATAATTCAACATTTGTAAGTAGTTACCTTGAAAGGTTGTTAGACCTAAAAATATAACTAAATAACTCAAAATCGGAGTCTTGTAAGTCTCGGGTTTTAATTTGAAAGGCCCAATTTTAATCTTAGACGCTGTCTTCTGCACAGCCTTTTCTTTTGCGCTTGATGGTCAACCCATGGCTCTCTACAATGAAGCCCTAGACGCCTTTCGGCCGTTCGACGTGTTTGAATTCCACTATGATCACCAGGGGCCAATTTTGTGAACTTCTTCTTTTCCACGCCAATTTTCAACTGTGGAAAAGGGAATTCAAATATTACATTTACGAAAAAAAACATTTTAGTATTTTACAACTATGTAAATAAATGCATACTTAATAAATATAAAACATAATAAGAAACCCAATCTTGAAACTCCTAATCGCTCATCATACCTCGGGTTCACTGAAAGTCTATCCATCTGGTAATGGCGTCCAAGGATCGTTTACATCAACTGCACCTTTCTCCTTTAATTTGCTAGATTCTTCACCCTTCTTCTTCACAACATTCTCACCACCTTCATCTCGTATTTTCAGTGGCCCGTCCTCCTTAGTTTGATTTACATCTTCATGTCCCGGATGAATATGTTGTCATGCGTCTTTCATGAAGGAGCTCACTTGACTCATTACCTTGTCAGTGAGTTCCAACACTGACCGCTAGAGCTCTGCCTGTATTATTGGCCCCAAAGCATGTCCTTCAATTGATCGCTTCACCTTAGCCTGCATGACTGGCGCCAAACTCATAGAAACTTCTTGAACAATTCTTTCAAGGTTTACTCCGGACACTTCATTCGTTGGATGGTACTTTGAAACAACCCGAATAGTAGGACTCTCAAACCCACCTTGCTTTCTAACCCATTTAATCATTTTCCACACCGACTGATTGTCCCAGGACACAATGGGATCCAAAACCTTGTCAACATATACTCCACCATGGACAATTGAATCCAAATAGAATAGTTGCAAAAAAAAACAGTGACCCATTTATATATGCAACTTTCTTCGCTTTGAACGACCTAACACCTTCACATAAGAACTTGAATCCATGGTTGGCCCAGTTCTTGGTCTCTATCTTCCCTGGGATCGTCAAGAAAGTTAGATAGTTCCCGGTCACTGATGGTGAAGATGTCGGGCAAAGTACAGTGCCAAGTGCGAACATCACAAATCGAACTTTAAAGTCCTTATTCGCATTTTCGCACTTTTCCAGTTTTTCAGCTAAACCCCATCAAGCCATTTCCACTGAAACTCTTCACTAAATGTTTCACCTTTTCATCTTCTACCGGCGAGTCGAGTTCAACATCCTCGTCGGTGTTCTTAAGGCCCATAACACGCCCAAACTCAACGGGACTTATTCCAAACACTTTGCCGTGCAGTTCTATAGAAGACGTATCTGGATTGAACCTTTGAATCAAAAATTGGCATAGTTCGCGGTGTAAACAAGTGCAGGACAAATATGACACAATACCGAACTCAATAGCATTAATTGCTAACCGCTTCTCATTCAAAAAATTTTCCACCGTACGATGGAATCGGTCCGGGCTGCATCTACTTGCCCAGTCGAACCTTCCAAGGCAGAACCATATGTTGCCTTCTCTTTAGGGTTCAATTTCCTCCACTTATTAGCAATCTCCTCTTGCATCTGAAATAAAAATTCTCATTAATAGAGCCTTTCTAATAAAATAATTAATAAACTGACCAAATCCATTGTCATCTCTCACCTTACTGTCCAACTTTGCATTGGCCATTTTCCCCATTTCGTGTCGTTCTTCTTTCCTGTAAATCATTTATTTTTAATCAAAAAACCATCATAATAATAAGCAACCACATTTCCAATTTTTAGATGTACATGTAACTTACATGAAATTAAAAAATGCATCTCGGCCAACTCTTGATTGTTGCATATTACTCTCAGCCTTGCGCTTTCCTTTCGCTGATCCCCTTTTTTGAGCTTCCATAACTTGCACAAATCAAGTACAAAACACTATCATGCAATTGTCTCTAGCGCCGAGAATTTGAATACTAATCCAAACCCTAATACAGCCTAAACCCCCTAAACCCTGTAAACACCACAACATCACATTGCTTAATGAAAAAAATACAGGGACCTAGATTTGCACACAGTCGCTTAGTAATTGCATATACTGATATGCAATTGCACAACACTACTTGCAAGTGCATCAGCCCTCGATTATAACATTGCACAGATATTGCTCACAACCCACCCATGCATTTCTCTATTGGGCCGGGATTCTTACTCATTTCAAATCCCAATACAAATCTTAACCAATCCTAACATTACACTTTCGAAACACTTTACTCCCCATAAAATAAATTCAAATACACAGTCAAACCTACCTACCTACCACGAAATCGATGTCACTTGCATAATTTCAAAACAAAACTATATACTGTAATTGCATTCAGTGACTTGGATTTGCATACAGGCGATTTGTAATTGCATATAGAGATATGCAATTGCATGAACATTACAACCATGAATGTGAGATACCCATTTCACCTCACAACACTTTCAAAATGAGAAACCCACTTCATCTCATGAATGTGAGAAACCTACTTCCCCTCTTGCCCCAATTCATTACCAAAGAATTTCAATTAACAATAATATAAAACATAGTGTTAATTACCTTCACAAGGAACTAATACCAAATGCTTTGACAAGGGCTCGATTGCAGACGAGAGGAGCGCCAACAACCCACCAGTGACTGGGAAAATTGAATTCCAATTCCTATTATCAACTCGAAATGCTAACCCTAAAATTTTCCCCAAAATCCAAACCCTAGAATAGGGGGTTTTTTACAATGATGACAAAGAAGAGAGAGAGGTTGCAGAGAGGAGGAAGAAACTTTCTACAGAAGAGGAGTTGAAGAAGATGACTTTGAAGACCATGAAGATTATCAGTTTGAAGTTGAACCAGACCACTTTGTGTTAGAAGAACGTCGACGGAGTGTGCATGTGAAATCGTTTACCTGTTGACGTTAGGAGCAGCGCGTGAAATCATTTACCTCTTGACCGGGTCAACAGGTTTCCCTTGTTTTTTAAAAAAAGTCACGTGAGTGGCTGTACCGGTACAGCTGATGCACCATAGAAGTTTCTTGTAAAAATAGGGCCACAGTGATTACTTGATCTTACGTAGCAGAGATTAGACCAGTCGAATGATGACTTCTGAGAAAACTAGGTTGAAGAGGCCCGAGCTATCGACCTTATTCCCAAATTCAGCTAGGCTCCTAATTTTTCAGAGGTTTTTTCAATGTTTTTTCTGTGCTCCTTTCAGTTATGAATATATATTATATATATCTCATGCAGTCAATGTTGTGTTTTTGGTCCAGTCTATGACAATTACTCTTGTTGCTTTGCTTTTTGGTCCAAGTCCAAGTCTATGACAATTGCTTTTGTTGCTTTGTCAAAACATCCACACCTAGCGTGTATTTTGGGGAATTCTTTCTCCAATCTTTCTCATTTACTTATTAATTACTTATTAGCTGATTATGAACACACACAGAGACAAATCAGAAGAAAAAAGAAAATATGCTAATGACTTTTGATAAGCGTATTATTTCCTATAGTTTTATACTTCTTATATTTGATTTTTGTAGGGAAAGTTAATTAAATAGAGCATTATTATTACCTTACTTTCCTTATTTTAAGCTATTTTGTGCTTTTGGAAGGATTTAGACTGAAATCGACTTTTCAAATGAATTTTAGCACAAGGCTAATTGAAAAAGAAAGCTAAGACATTGAAGATTATTGTATCAAAGTTTCATAATTTTCTATCAAGCCAAATGCTCTAGACTTGCAAGTCTAGACAGCCTAAGTTGAAATCCCGTCAGAACTGTACTACTGTGGAAGATTGAAGATTGAAGATTTGAAGACTTTCCGATTTTTCCTAGTGGCATGTGATATGGGCATGGAAAGCTAGAGATTAAGATACATTTCTCATATTTTTTTTCAGAATTTTCTATGAAGAGAACCCAAACGTGCGTGAGAAGAATGGAGATGATTGAGAAGAATGAGACTTGGGAGCTAGTGGACAGACCAAGTGAGAAACCTGTGATTGGTGTTAAATGGGTTTATAAAATCGAGTTGAACCTTGATGGCTCAATACAGAAGCATAAGGCTAGGCTGGTAGTCAAAGGCTATGCACAAAAGCCTGGAATTGGCTTCAATGAGACTTTTGCTCCTGTGGCCAAACTAGACACCATCAGAACACACTACAATAAAAAGTGAAATAGACGACGGGAAACCACCGTCGTCCATAAGGTTTTCCAACCATCGTGAAATCGACCGCCATCTTTTGTACAAAAACAACAACGGTTAATACCCGACGTCGTTAAGGCATTCAAAGTCCAGATTTATTACGAACCGACGTGTAACTACTATATAATTGGCCTAAAATTAAATCTTCCACAACATTAGACGACGATTTTACGAAAACTGAGACGTCTAAAGAGTGTTACATGTCAAGATCAAAAAAGAACTGACATACAGATAATATCCACGTCCCTAAATGAAGGAAATAAGACATGGATAAGCTAGAAACCGTCGTGGTTAATTTATACTACGTTAAACGAACAAAGACACTGACATCTAAAACATAAACGACGACGTGGACAAAACCAACAGACGTTTAAGGGTATTACATGTCATTTGTCTCTCAATAACCGCCATAACATGACATAACCACATCCTGCACATGGCATCACTGATGCTTATGTATTATCACGTCACGAATATAATAGAAACCGACGTGTTAAGTTTATTCCACGTTTGTTTCTTGCATGAATGGTTGTTTAAATTGTACAAAGAAGCCCATTTGACAGAGTTAGACGTCACTTTTTCTGAATAACCAACGTCTAAATGATTTAAAATGACATATATACTCAATATCGACATACAAAATTGTTCCCACGTCAATTTTTGTCAAAGGATGACATTATAAATAATATTGAAGGCGTGGATAGGAAACAACAGATGTGGATTATATATTCAACATCGGTGGCATTAAAATAAAGGACGTGGTTAATTAGTTCACTACGTCTGGAGATCCACCTGCTTGACGTTGTAATTGCTTACCACATCGGTTTTGATTACATATGCTGTGGTTGTCCTTTTAAAAGTCACTTGTTAACCTTCCTTGAAGTATGTATGCCCAGAGACGTCAGTTGTTTTAGACTAGCCGATGTGCAGAACATCTGTCACGACAGTTAATGAAACTGAACGGCCTTTATTTCTTTTGGGGTTGTTAGAGTTTTAGTTGAATTAGTCAAAGTTTATTCAGTTAATAAATCCTATTATTTAGGATATGTAGGTAGAGTCAGACTTTTTCCTTAAACAGTTACCATGGTATTAGGATCAGTAAAACGTGGGTTGTTTGTTTCAATCTTATCTCATTGTAAGGCTTATATAAGCCAGCAGCTTGTTTTGAATACAAGAAGATTTTATCCAGATATTACTTCTGAATTGCTTTGTGCTTAGAGTTTTAAAAATCGGGTATCAGAGCTCCATCACGGGGCCTGAGTATGAGACAAAGAAACCGCAGTTTCTTAAGAAGAGAAAGAGTGAGAAGAAAGAGAATTGAGGTATGGCAGCTGAAAGTAATTTCGTTCAACCTGCAATTCCTAAGTTTGATGGTCATTACGATCATTGGTCCATGCTTATGGAAAATTTCCTTCGTTCGAAGGAGTATTGGAGTTTGGTGGAGACTGGAATCCCTGCTGCAGTAGAAGGAGTGGAGCTTACTAAAGCACAACAAAAATCAGTTGCAGACTAGAAGCTGAAAGACTTAAAGGTCAAGAATTATCTATTCCAAGCCAATGATCGAACCATTATGGAGACGATCCTCAATAGAGACACTGCTAAGCACATCTGGGACTCTCTGAAGCAGAAGTACCAGGGTTCCACAAGAGTCAAAAGAGCACAGCTCCAAGCTCTTCGGAAGGAGTTTGAGGTTCTCCAGATGAAAGAGGGTGAGAGTGTTGATGCACACTCTTCATAGCAAACAAGATGAAGATTCATGGTGAAAACATGCAGCAAGTGGTGATCATTGAAAAGATCTTGAGATCAATGACCTCAAGCTTCGACTATGTTGTGTGTTCAGTTGAGGAGTCTAATAACTTAGACACCTTAACCATTGATGAGTTGCAGAGCAGCTTACTAGTTCATGAGCAGAGGATGAACATGCACGGAGGAGATGAGCAGGCATTAAAGGTGACCTTCGATGAAAGAATTGTTGGAAGAGGAGGCGGTCAAGCTCGTGGAGCTTTTTGAGGAAGAGGCAGAGGGAGAGGCAGACAAGCATTCAACAAAGCTCTAGTTGAGTGTTATACGTGTCATCAATTAGGGCACTTTCAATATGAGTGTTCTAAATGGGAGAAGGAAGCGAATTATGCTGAGCTTGAGAAGAAAGAAGAAATGTTGCTGATGTCATATGTGGAGCTTAATCAATAAAGGAGAGAAGACGTCTGGTTCCTTGACTCAGGGTGTAGCAATCATATGTGTGCGAATAAGGAGTGGTTCTCAGATCTTGACGAGGAATTCCGGCAATCTTTGAAGCTTGGGAATAATTCCAAGATGGCTGTGTTGGGAAAGGGTCACATTAGGTTGCAAATTGCTGGAGTTAATCAGGTAATCACTGATGTTTTCTATATACTTGAGTTGAAAATAACTTATTAAGTGCTGGACAATTACAAGAAAGAGGTGTAGCTATTTTGATACAACATGGAGAATGTAGAGTCTATCATCCCGAGAAAGGGCTTA